TAGCCATCGACCATGATATTAAACCTAACTTAACCATCGACCATGATATTAAACCTAACTTAACCATCGACCATGATATTAAACCTAACTTAACCATCGACCATGATATTAAACCTAACTTAACCATCGACCATGATATTAAACCTAACTTAACCATCGACCATGATATTAAACCTAACTTAACCATCGACCATGATATTAAACCTAACTTAACCATCGACCATGATATTAAACCTAACTTAACCATCGACCATGATATTAAACCTAACTTAACCATCGACCATGATATTAAACCTAACTTAACCACTTCTGACACGACCTCAGGATTTTTGCCAAAAATTTTGTCATCCCATGGACGGAAAATGATATAGTAGGTGTCTTGACATCATATACCAAATGTCATCTCCATTGGTCAAGTATTATGCAAATTATGACATGTGTACAAAAATTTACGTGTCAAAAGAGGAAAATGTTAGTAATACCTTATTTATAACATGCAATTCTGGAATGCTGTTAATTTACTTAGTATTATAATGAGGCATTTTATTTGAAGAATAAACAATTCATAAGTGATCTAAAAAAAATATTTGTTTTAAATTTGATGCAAAGTTAATAGTAACGACGTTTATTATTTTTTCCGGGGGTGGGGGCGGATACTGTTAAAAGTATATATTTTCTATATAAATTTCATTTCGTTCGGGTGGGGGGGGGGGGCGGTAGACTTCGGGAGGGGGGGGGGGCTTAGCCCCCCCTCTCCTTCCCGAAGAGATGCCTGGAAGAAACTCTGCAAACGCATCATTGTTTTCTCTATAGTTAGCAAGTTTGGGTCCTAGAGTTTTTCTTCAATACATTTTGCACTTGTTTGTCTTGGTGTCACCCCCTGATTGGTGACGCCCGGTGCGATCCGCACCCCCCCCCCCCCGCCTCGTGACGCCGCTAGGATAAAGTTGCTTTTTTCGGAGATTAATTCAGATACATTTTGAGCCACGATGTCTGTGAATGAGCCGTGAGCTTAATTAAAAACATTCTCCGCAGGTGAGCCCACACCAACTGCGCATATCCTGGTATTTAAGCTTTACATCAATTCCCTCCCCTGGACCGATGACTACTTGAACCACACATCCAGCAGCTATCTGACTTTGGTGTCTAGCATACAAGCAAACTTGCTCAACTGGACTGGTCAACTAGGCACCATGCGAATAGCCAAGAAGTAAGTTCGTTTGTCTAACCGCCCATCATGGTTACATACTCATAGATTTGGATTCATTTAGGGCTAACTGAAATGTGTTCAGGAGAAATTACTGTTTGGTAAATATCAATATTTTTAAAGTTGATAATTTTGGTGTGGTAGTAAATATCAATATTTTTAAAGTTGATAATTTTGGTGTGGTAGTAAATATCAATATTTTTAAAGTTGATAATTTTGGTGTGGTAGTAAATATCAATATTTGTTTGTTACAGAGGATTTTCAAATCCTTACACACCCACATAAACACACATGTATACACACCTACACACCCACATAAACACACATGTATACACACCTACACACCCACATAAACACACATGCATACACACCTGCACACACACATATGCACACACACCACAAATGTGCCTTTGATCCACAATTTTTCTTTGAACAAATTGAGTTAGCTGGACATCATCTTGTATATTTGTGATATATTTGTGTCAAATATAATACATAATCGCTTAATAAACTAAAAGCAATGTTTAAATATGACAAAAATAAAAATATATCAATATAAATATATATAATATACATAAAAGTAAAATTGGCTAAATGATATTCACTTAATTAAAAAGACCTCCCTTACACTCTTATGTACATGACTGTCATTACATCATTGTCATTACATTGCTGCCATTATATGACTACCATTACATCCTATTACCTAAATAAATCACCTCACATTTTCTGGTAATTTTTGGGGGAAAAATAGGTTTTTAATTTTATTTTTCAGTTTTGCTAAATTTTAATTTCTAGCTATGGGTTTATTATAGAAAATAATTAGTTAGTATACTCTTTTATTTTTAGCTATGGTTGTATTGAGGTATATATCGAATGGAGTACAACAGAAAATTTCCAGATCTTTACATTGATAGAGGAGCTAAAGAAGAGTGGAATCAAGACAGCCAATGGGATATTGTTCATCAGTACCAAACCTTGCTTACCTAGCCTGGGTATGTTTATTGTTCATCAGTTTGGATTAGGATTAACATTTGTATTAGCTGAATAAAGATTAACACTTTGTGTTTTTAAATGAATGCTGTAATGAAAATATTTTGACAAAGATGAGAGTGACCAATGCCCTGTGGTCAAGCAGAACATTGATGTTCCGTGTGTGGACACTTGCAATGACAGCAACAAAATATGCCCCAGTGGATTCAAGTGTTGTCATAACTTCAGCTGTCATTTTTGTTTGAGAAGTAAGTAGTGTACTTGAATAATAAATTTTAATGAATACTTACTTAGATAACAAATTCTAATGTGTTTTCAAATAACAAATTCTACTATATATAGGCCTACTTCAATTGTGAAATCTACTGGGTACTCAAATAGCAAAATCTACTGGGTACTCAGATAACAAAATCTACTGGCTACTCAGATAACAAAATCTACTGGCTACTCAGATAACAAAATCTACTGGGTACTCAGATAGCAAAATCTACTGGCTACTCAGATAACAAAATCTACTGGCTACTCAGATAACAAAATCTACTGGGTACTCAGATAGCAAAATCTACTGGGTACTCAGATAGCAAAATCTACTGGGTACTCAGATAACAAAATCTACTGGGTACTCAGATAGCAAAATCTACTGGGTACTCAGATAGCAAAATCTACTGGGTACTCAGATAGCAAAATCTACTGGGTACTCAGATAACAAAATCTACTGGGTACTCAGATAACAAAATCTACTGGGTACTCAGATAACAAAATCTACTGGGTACTCAGATAGCAAAATCTACTGGGTACTCAGATAGCAAAATCTACTGGGTACTCAGATAGCAAAATCTACTGGGTACTCAGATAACAAAATCTACTGGGTACTCAGATAGCAAAATCTACTGGGTACTCAGATAACAAAATCTACTGGGTACTCAGATAGCAAAATCTACTGGGTACTCAGATAGCAAAATCTACTGGGTACTCAGATAACAAAATCTACTGGGTACTCAGATAGCAAAATCTACTGGGTACTCAGATAACAAAATCTACTGGGTACTCAGATAGCAAAATCTACTGGGTACTCAGATAGCAAAATCTACTGGGTACTCAGATAGCAAAATCTACTGGGTACTCAGATAACAAAATCTACTGGGTACTCAGATAGCAAAATCTACTGGGTACTCAGATAGCAAAATCTACTGGGTACTCAGATAACAAAATCTACTGGGTACTCAGATAGCAAAATCTACTGGGTACTCAGATAGCAAAATCTACTGGGTACTCAGATAACAAAATCTACTGGGTACTCAGATAACAAAATCTACTGGGTACTCAGATAGCAAAATCTACTGGGTACTCAGATAGCAAAATCTACTGGGTACTCAGATAACAAAATCTACTGGGTACTCAGATAGCAAAATCTACTGGGTACTCAGATAGCAAAATCTACTGGGTACTCAGATAGCAAAATCTACTGGGTACTCAAACCAGTGGCGTAGCCATGATCGTCTCAAGGGGGGGATTCCAATTTTTACCCGGTGACAAACTTTCAATTTGCACCCCCCTAAAACTTTTGATTTGAATTTTAACCTTAGCACCAGCCCTGACCCTTACCCAAACACTGACTCTGACCCTAGAGGCAGATAAGTAGTTGTTTAAATTGTTTTTATGGCATGCATTAAAATATTCAAATTTCTAGACACCAGGCTTAGGTCAAGGTTGAGTGCATTAATTTAATTGGAGTATGCGGGCTAAACTTTTTGCATTAGTGGCAGGGCTTATCTGGACTTAAGCTCATACCATTTTAGATCAAGAATAGTTTATGATGAGCCACAGCTTTACATAAGCCACAGTTTTATATTCTATAAATAGGCTAGAATTAATGCCAGCAATCTTTGTAGTTGGTTACAGAATTAAAATCACTGGCAGTTTGCTGGTGAATATTTCAATGCAAGAAACATCCATGGTGGACCAGTTGCAGCTTCAAGACAAGATGACAACTATGGTGGGTAGATATATATATATATATATATATATATCTATATATATATATATATATATATATATATATATATATATATATATATATATATATATATGTGTGTGTGTGTGTGTGTGTGTGTGTGTGTGTGTGTGTGTGTGTGTGTGTGTGTGTGTGTGTTTTAAATTTGTATCAAACACACATCCGCTGTTATAGTTAAAGAAAAAATTCTATTTACTTCCTTAACTTCATTTTAAAGCATGTTTATATGTTTATATAAAATATAGGGCTACATAAGAACCTTCTATCACAACAATATTGGGCTAGATGTAAACCTTCTATTAAAATAGCCCTATCAAAAAACTTGTAGCCCTTCTGACTTGAGATCCAAACTCAAGACTTTTGGATTAGCAGTTGTTAACCTTACAATCCAACCACATTTTTCCCTTTATTGCAAATCAAGAAATTGAATTTAGAAAAAAGTATTTTCATGGCTTAAATTCATTGACCAATATGTATATATATAATTCTCTTCTGGGAGACGTTAGAAAACAAGCTGTAGTTCACGCTAAATGTTTAGTGATGGCTATTAGGGGCAGATAATTTAGTTTAATTATTTTATACTTAGGGGATGTAGCTAAGTGAAGGCTGCTTTCACATAAGTGGGGGTGGGGGGGGGTAGGGGGAAAGGAGGGTTTTAGTGTTTTAAAGCAAATATTTTCAGTGGCAGCACTGGTACTGTCGAATTCACAAATTATGAATTACTGAAAAGTAGAAAATAAAACAACTAAATAGCGGCGTATGATACGCCGCGGCTTGGCTCGTTACTTTATAAAACCCTAACTCTAGTCATACTTGTTCTCAATAGACTGAACTTTTGATCCCCCTTTGAGTTTATAAACGACCCATGAGGGATGGTTAGGTCACAAACCTAGGACTGGTTTCTCCCCCAACCCCCACCCTGCCTGATAAATGATGACACAATCTAGTCCTACAATATTTTCTAGAGAGAAAAATTCTTATTCAGTTTTTTACAAAAGAAATCCCCTTAAATTTAGAAAAATAATATTTCAGTCAGTGTGATCTACATATTCATTCAACCTTTCTATTTTGTCAAAATAAGAACATTAAATCCAAGGTTTTAACATGAATATAGTAGGCTTTATACATCAATATATAAAAATATTATAAGGTCTATAAAAAGATTTAAAATAATTTCACAGATGAAGGGAAAATTCTTTGGAAATTTAACAGCTGTTGATTACATGAGAAACAGGTAGGATTAATTGTTAGCTTCAAGATATTAGTTAAACACTAGATAGAAAATATGACTTTACAAACACTTGTCATCTTTTTTTACATCAGTAGTTTTCAAAACAGTGAAGGGAGCTATCTTTTCAAGCTGGTATTGTACTTCAATGATGATCTATCAAATGAAGTTCTAGAAAGTGCTAGATTTCAAGTAGAAAATTCTTTCATTAATATTTCTCAAGCTGGAATCAGAATAATGAAATTTGAATATGGTGAGTTGGTCCTACTAACATTAGTTTAAGTCAGGGTTAGGGTCAGGGTCAGGGTTAGGGTCAGGGTCAGGGTAAGGGTCAGGGTTAGGGTCAGGGTTAGGGTAAGGGTCAGGGTTAGGGTCAGGGTCAGGGTTAGCATCTTACTTTTCCTAAGACATTTTAAATTGTAAAATGTAATTTTAGAAGATACAATTGCTTGAAAAGTAATTTTCTTTCCAAAAGTTAAAAACAATTTATTCTTGATTTGATGATCTACAGAAACATCCGACCAATGTGACCAATGTGCAGGAATTTGTAAAGAATTACTTTCGGGTGAAGTTTATTGCTCTTGTTCTCAGGGTTATATTGGAACAGACTGCACATCTTTTGGTTTGTGTTTTCATTCATTTCAGTGGCTTGCACTTTGAATCAAATTATGTTTTTGCTTTATTATTTCTTTGATAATGCAAAGTGAAAGTAGTTTTACATGACAATCAATCTGGTTTGACAGAGTTGAATTCTCTCTCTCTGCTGATATAGTAAATGTGCTGAACCACCTTAACCACATTTAATTTAGCATCTGTAAATCCAGCCATCTTAGCCACTTAATATAAGGACTGTAAGTTCAGCCATCTTAATATAAGGACTGTAAGTTCAGCCATCTTAATATAAGGACTGTAAGTTCAGACATCTTAATATAAGGACTGTAAGTTCAGCCATCTTAATATAAGGACTACAAGTTCAGCCATCTTAATATAAGGACTACAAGTTCGGCCATCTTAATATAAGGACTACAAGTTCAGCCATCTTAATATAAGGACTACAAGTTCAGCCATCTTAATATAAGGACTACAAGTTCAGCCATCTTAATATAAGGACTGTAAGTTCAGCCATCTTAATATAAGGACTGTAAGTTCAGCCATCATACTCAAAATATGCTTTTTTCTGTGTTATTGTGTGAAAATTACAAAAATGATTGGCATAATGATTGCCATGTTATTACTTAATAAATTGTATCGTTTGTTCCTGTTTTGTAATTTTTTTATTTTTTGGAAAAAATGTCCTACATTCCTGACAGTACTTATAAAGCACCAATATATTTTAGGGCCATTAAAAATTTATGAAACTTAATTTCCTCCAACAAAAGCTTTAAGTGTGCCAGAAGCAATATGATACTTAATTTCCTCCAACAAATGCTTTAAGTGTGTCAGAAGCAATATGAAACTTAATTTCCTCCGACAAATGCTTTAAGTGTGCCAGAAGCAATATGATACTTAATTTCCTCCAACAAATGCTTTAAGTGTGTCAGAAGCAATATGAAACTTAATTTCCTCCGACAAATGCTTTAAGTGTGCCAGAAGCAATATGAAACTTAATTTCCTCCGACAAATGCTTTAAGTGTGCCAGAAGCAATATGAAACTTAATTTCCTCCGACAAATGCTTTAAGTGTGCCAGAAGCAATATGAAACTTAATTTCCTCCGACAAATGCTTTAAGTGTGCCAGAAGCAATATGAAACTTAATTTCCTCCGACAAATGCTTTAAGTGTGCCAGAAGCAATATGAAACTTAATTTCCTCCGACAAATGCTTTAAGTGTGCCAGAAGCAATATGATAACACATTGTTTAAGAAAAAAGTCCATTCAGAACCTAATTCCGTAAATAAAGGGTTAAGTAAACCTAGTTTTAAAGTTATACAGTTGTGTGTTTACTTAAGTAAACCTAATTTTATAGATATTCAGTTGTGTGGTTACTTAAGTAAACCTAGTTTTATAGATATACAGTTGTGTGGTTACTTAAGTTAACCTAGTTTTATAGATATTCAGTTGTGTGGTTACTTAAGTAAACCTAATTTTATAGATATACAGTTGTGTGGTTACTTAAGTAAACCTAATTTTATAGATATTCAGTTGTGTGGTTACTTAAGTAAACCTAGTTTTATAGATATTCAGTTGTGTGGTTACTTAAGTAAACCTAATTTTATAGATATTCATTTGTGTGATTACCAGGGCCGGCGCTACGTATAAAGCAAACTAGGCTGTAACCTATGGCGCTCTCCAAAGGGGGGTGCAAAAATGTGTAATCATCACTATTAAAAAGTACCTTATAATTATATAATTATATTAAGTAAACTATAGAAAGTGTAGTATAAAAAGGCATGGCCATTTCTTTTGGCCCCCAGGGCAAACTATCAATTTTGCGCCCCCTCCAGAAATTAGGCCTATATATAGTTATTCGCGTTGGTGAAAATGCGCCCCCCATCTCCCTAATTTGGCTTTTTATTTTGGTATCAGATATTTTGATCTTGAAAATAATCAAATAAGTCCGTAATATCAAATAGCAGTCTATGTTCTTTACTTCAACTGTATATAAATCAGTATTGATCGTTTTATATTATTATCTACCACATTTGGTGCCCCCTTTGGGTCTGCGCCTGTGGTAGCCGCCCCACCCTCCCTCCTCTAGCTACGACTCTGGTAATATAATGAGATAGCTATTGTATTTAATGTAAATCCTTTAATTTCAAACACTTCAGATGGGCATCTAATTTTTAATGTTAATTGACTGATCGCTCCAGATTGCTGATCTTCTTTTTTCTTAATTTTTTGAAATGATGATCTTCAAGTAGTAGCTTCTTAAGCATATGTCACCAACAGATGTGCTTCTCTATATAATACAACCAAAACTAGATGATTGTGTACCAAATGTTGTTTTTTTAGCATACTATTAACACTTACAGTGTCTGTTGGCTAGTGAAGAGTGCGGTTTTTCAAAATTGAAATTAATTTCAGGGGCGGATCTACTATACCGCCAGACCCCGCAATACGGCTGTGTAGGGGTGGGGTTGGGGAGCAAAATCATCCTCCAAAAAATACTTTTTTGCACCTTGATATATTGGTTTTGTAAAAACAAAATCGACTGCAGCAATGATTGTTCTGCAGCAACTAACACACACTGTTGCATAGACGAAAATAAACTACATAAGCTGTAGTGTGAGGCAAACCCTCAAAACACGTCTATGACTTATCGCTCCACTTTTGATAGTCTAATAGGGGTGCCCAAAAAACTCATTTAAATAATTTTGTACTAAGCAAATTAAAAGAAATGTCTTCTGTTAATTATTATGAAAATAAAGCATCCTGAGGAATAACTAAAGAATGAAAAGAAATTAATTCAAAATTAATAATATAAATGTAAAAAAAAAAAACAACAACATAAGAATAAAACGAACAGGGGAAACTATTTCACAATTTTCCTTGTTTCATAATCTTTTGATCGAGTTTTTAGATTTGAAGGTACACTATTCATAATTTTCTCCCGGCATAAATTAGATATTTGAAACCTTGATTATTTCAGACCAGAAATGAGTTTGTGTGGTTAGTTGTCTCATGATGGATAAACTTTGCAATGAAATAGGTTAAGTGATAGTCAAGTGGTTTAATTTAAAATTTGGTGAGACAGTTTACTAATATAAATATATATATATATATATATATATATATATATATATATATATATATATATATATATATATATATATATATATATATATATATATATATTATACATATAATATGGGGTCCAGAAAAAAATTGCAGGGGAAGAGGGGGCCTTTTAATAAGTTTTGCCTAGGGCACAAATATTATGGTGCCGGCACTTGTGATTACTTAAGTAAACCTAGTTTCATAGATATACAGTTGTGTGATAGATTAAATATTAAAAATTACATTTCAAAATATGTAATTTTTTAAATAAAATAGGGAAAAAATTATTAATTTTAGATTATTCTATTCTTATCCATATCTATTTTACAAAGATTGCAGAACAAATTACAGTCAATTTCCAAATACATCTGTAAGCTTGTGTGAGAACAATGGCAGCTGTACCCGGCAGGATGACAACTTCAAGTGCATGTGTCAGTCAGGTTACTATGGAGACTATTGTCAAGGTAACTACTGTGTTTTTCTCTAAAACATCATTTAAAAAATAAAATTATACTATGGGCCTGAGTAAGTGTAAGCTGATATTTTTTGTCCTTGTTGTAGGCCAGGGGTTCCCAACCTTTTTTTACTCTAGAGCACATTCTAAAATATCGGTAGGGTGGCGGGCACCACCTATTTTAAATCAACAAACTCCTTCCAGAGGCGTAGCGACCCTTCCCGTCACCCGGGGACAAAACTTTCCCCCTCAAACTTTCGATTTCCATCCCCTTCAACCTTTCAATAATGTTTATGAAAAAAATTCTGTCTTTGTCGAATAGTGAAAGGCGGGCACATACGAATCGTTCGGCGGGCGCCATGGCGCCTGCGGGCACGGGGTTGGGAACCCCTGTTGTAGGCTAACCTCTAAATTGATAAAACACTTTTTAAACATCAATTTAAAAACTTAATATTTGTTAAACCTTCAACTACATGTAGCTGGATTTAATACTGTAAATGATATGATTTTTTGTGTGCAAAGAATTATATAAATTAGAAGAAGTCATTTCATTGATATAAATAGAAGAGTTCTAGGCTGACATTTAGAAAATGTTTCTTCTATTCAGTTGGTGTTTGTGGTCTGATGACATTTAGAAAGGGTTTCTTCTAAAAATGTTTCTTATATTCAGTTGGTGTTTGTGGTCTGATGACATTTAGAAAATGTTTCTTCTATACAGTTGGTGTTTGTGGTCTGATAAACTGTGGAAATAATGGGACCTGTGTTGGATCATTCAATGACGGCAGATTGTGTCAGTGCCAGAGTGACAGAGGGGGCCTTTTCTGTGAGGAAACAAAACCTGGTGAGGAAAAAAATATTTTTCTTTTGTTCCCTCACATATGTTTTGGATTAATACAATTTTTATCTGCTTTAACTTATTAAGAGACTTTATTTTTAGATTCTAGCAAATGTTCCAGACAATTTAGCTCAAATGTTTTGGCTTTTAGATAATTTAACTCAAATGTTTTGACTTTTGGACATTTTAGTTCAAATGTTTTGACTTTCAGATAATTTAACTCAAATGTTTTGGCTAACAGACAATTTAGCTCAAATGTTTTGGCTTTTAGATAATTTAACTCAAATGTTTTGACTTTCAGATAATTTAACTCAAATGTTTTGGCTAACAGACAATTTAGCTCAAATGTTTTGTAACGTAAAGTTTCCCTTTCAAACCTGACGGTCTATGGGGCAAGTGAAGTAGAGTTCACTTGTTTCTGTGACCTCGGCATATGAAGAGATAGTGTGGTCAGCACTTTACTTTCCCTAACCTGAGTTAGGTACCCATCAGAGTTGGGTGGACTCAGGGACGGTCTACTAACTTGAACCCCGATTCAAACTAGAGATTTACGGGTTAGCAGTCCAGCTCTCTACCGCTAGACCACTCCGTCCCCTCAAATGTTTTGGCTAACAGACAATTTAGCTCAAAAGTTTTGACTTTCAGACAATTTAACTGAATGTGAGAGGAAAAGAAGACTTGGTGTTTTCGTCCAGAATGTTTTGGCTGGGAATACAACTATAGCTGCTAATAGAATGACTATACCATTGAAAGTAGGCAGAGATTTAATTTTCAAAGAAATTTATTTTGATTAAGGGTTTTCTCTTCTCCTGATGGAACTTTATGCATAGGTCCTACTTTAGATAGTTACCACATAATCAAGCCAATCTTACCTTATACATTAATGGGCTCATCTACACTTCTATTACTTTTCTTTTGCTAAGGAGCTTTTGGCATCTATTAAAGTTGGATTCTATGAAGTGCCAACATGCAATGTCACTGACGGAAGCTTTTACTCATCTTGCACTTATGAGATGGGCTCTGATTCACCACCCTTATGCTCTTGTAGAACTCATAATACCAACTTGGATTACTGTGCAGGTAAATTAAATATAGGCCTATATAAAAATTCACTGAAGTATTGCTTCTGCAATAATCTTAGACAGTTTATGCAATTTTAATAAACATATAATCCTTTTTTTTTGGTGTTTTCTTGAGCACAGAATGGCAGTACTTTGTGGATGAAGATTATTTTTTGAATATGGACTGGTCAGATGAGCTGATAGACACGCGTTCTAATCTCTATCACTCCATCATATCACAGGTCACTTACATTTTTATTAGGGTTAAGGTTAGGGTTAGGGTTAAGGGTGAAAACTAATTAATCCAACTAAATTTTGTGTATAGAGTTCAGATTCAAAGCATGTGTGTGTGTTTGTTTGTATGTGTGTGTGTTTATTTGAATAAGTGTGTGTGTATGTGTTTGTATATGTGTGTGTGTGTTTGTATATGTGTGTTTGTGTTTGAATAAGTGTGTTTATCTTTGAAGTAAATGTCTGCAGCACTCTGAAGGTTGATAAACATCACCAGACTGTATTACACGTTATTAAGAAGATTAAAGTTTCTACATCATTCATTATTATAAACTAGTTGGCTGCTTAGTGATGATAAATCCATTTCTGATGACGATATCTCATGACTGAGGTGACTGAGATCACAGCTAGATGACTGAGGTGACTGAGATCACAGCTAGATGACTGAGATGACTGAGATCACAGCCATATGACTGAGATGACTTAGATCACAGCCAGATGACTGAGATGACTGAGATCACAGCCAGATGACTGAGATGACTTAGATCACAGCTAGATGATTGAGATGACTGAGATCACAGCCAGATGACTGAGATGACTAAGATCACAGCCAGATGACTGAGATCACAGCTAGATGACTGAGGTGACTTAGATCACAGCCAGATGACTGAGATGACTGAGATCACAGCTAGATGACTGAGATCACAGCCAGATGACTGAGATGACTGAGATCACAGCTAGATGACTGAGGTGACTGAGATCACAACAAGGTGACTGAGATGACGGAGATCACAGCCAGATGACTGAGGTGACTGAGATCACAGCTAGATGACTGAGATGACTGAGATCACAGCTAGATGACTGAGATGACTGAGATCACAGCCAGATGACTGAGATGACTTAGATCACAGCCAGATGACTGAGATGACTAAGATCACAGCCAGATGACTGAGATCACAGCTAGATGACTGAGGTGACTTAGATCACAGCCAGATGACTGAGATGACTGAGATCACAGCTAGATGACTGAGATCACAGCCAGATGACTGAGATGACTGAGATCACAGCTAGATGACTGAGGTGACTGAGATCACAACAAGATGACTGAGGTGACTGAGATCACAGCTAGATGACTGAGGTGACTGAGATCACAACAAGGTGACTGAGATGACGGAGATCACAGCCAGATGACTGAGGTGACAGAGATCACAGCTAGATGACTGAGATGACTGAGATCACAGCTAGATGACTGAGATGACTGAGATCACAGCCAGATGACTGAGATGACTAAGATCACAGCCAGATGACTGAGATGACTAAGATCACAGCCAGATGACTGAGATCACAGCTAGATGACTGAGGTGACTTAGATCACAGCCAGATGACTGAGATGACTGAGATCACAGCTAGATGACTGAGATCACAGCCAGATGACTGAGATCACAGCTAGATGACTGAGGTGACTGAGATCACAACAAGATGACTGAGGTGACTGAGATCACAGCCAGATGACTGAGATCACAGCTAGATGACTGAGATGACTGAGATCACAACAAGGTGACTGAGATGACTGAGATCACAGCTAGATGACTGAGGTGACTGAGATGACTGATGTTCTTACACATGTCATTTATACTTTGTTAGGCATGGAAGCTATTAATAATGTTCTACATCAAACATTTTTAGTTGTGTCTTATGTCAAAGTAATTAAGTTATTAATTAAATGTAACTATGGCATCCATTCTTTGTATTTTTTAGTTCACCTCAAAAATTCAGAGTTTCGGAGCTACTCTTATTTCAGTCCAGTTGACTAAGCAGTAAGTTGTGTTGAATAATTACAATAACAGATTTGTGTTTCTTCAATATAACATGTGTAAAAAGTTTCTATAATAACTACATATTTTGTTCAAATTATAAATGAAGGAATTTTTGTACAGGTTTAATTAGTTACTCACTTTGTAACTGCTATTTTTTAAGGGTAAAATTATGTTGCAAAAATAATTTAATTCTGCTTTTATGAGTCATTCAAAAAGGTGTCTTTTGTTTTAAATGATATATTTACCCACTCTCCATCATCACACATTATTGCAGAAAGTTAGACAAATGTTAATCTCATACTGTATCCAGTCCCCACCCCTTATTTAAAAAATTTCATTTGTTTTTATAAGCAATTTAGGGTGCTTTTGCTATATAATAGACATGAAAAGCTGGTTTCAAATGGTTCCAAATTTTCGTTGCCAGAAAGCTAATTCTTCAACCAAAATTGAATATTTTATAACATTTGTGTAATAAGTACAAAATTATTTCTGGTTTCATCAAGGTTAGAAATAGGCAAAGATATAATTACTAATAATAATATAGTAGTAATTTAGAAAACACTTTCATTTTTAATTTGGATCATAGAGTCAGGGTTTTGTGGTGGTTGGGGATGTAATATTATTTAATATAAATACATTACTACGCTATACACCATTGAACACTATTGTGTATTTTTATCATAAAGAACAATTGTTCTGACTTATTGTTTTACTCTCCTTGGCCATTTTGATAGACTTCAAGGAGAGGTTGAGGGCAGTTTTTGAAAATATATGAATTGATAAAATAATTCTAAATGGCTTTTCAACTGCTTATATTTGATACAAAAATATAAAAATGATTCTAATCGATGGTTAATTTTTTAATTTACTATCATTTTATCACTTACCATATTTTTAAAAAGATTTTTTATAAAAATTTAGTATGATTACATAGATCTAGAATCTAGACATTTCCTACCTATTGTTTCCATTTGTACACCAAATTTTAGGGAATCCACGAGCATTTTGCGCACCGGATTTTAGGAAATCCCAAATCACTGTGTTTACCAATATTTTACAAAAATCTGGATTGATGATAGATGTATTGATCAAGTATATCAATTATTTAAAAAGTATTTTTAAAATAAAAAAAAAAACTGTTCAAGTTCAATTTAAAACATACCTTGTTTTCAATACAACTGTGTGATGTCACACATTCTTAATCCTCTTCCCCCCCCCCATCACATATCAACCCAGCTATCCACCCCTCTTCCCCCCCCCCCCCCACACACACACTTTGCCTAGGAGTGTGACTTATATGGATGACATTGCTGTTTAGAAGTATATGTGTAATGTAAATGAATGAAAAGATTTGTATAAAATTAAGATGCTAAGACAAGAGAGAAATGTTTCAGAGAAAATTGTGTGAAGGCTACCATCAGATGGTCAGGTCCCAACTCTGCTGCACCCAAGGCAATGATCACAAATATTTTCATTCAGGAAAAACTTGTCACAGTTTCTACTAGTCCATGTTCTTCACCATGTAAGTCATTAGTGATTTTTGTAATGCTACAAATTCTTGCTTCAGATAACTAGTAATAAAACTACTGGGAGCCTATTTAGGATTAGGGTTACTTACTTCTGATTACTTGATACTAGCAATAAAATATTGTGTTGGCCAGTATTGATTCAAATATAGAGATACTGCTATAGGCTTATTGATCATTTGTTGTTTTCTTTTATAAGAATAGGGCTAGTAAAATTTAATTCAAATTCAAGGGAATAACGGTTGAAAATTGCAGTTGCCAGAGTGCTTATAATTCAACCAGAATTTAATATTTTATAAAAATGAATGAAATAGGTACACAATGACTTCCTGTTTTATCAAGGCTAGAAATAAACAAGTATAGTTATTAATAATATAACATCTGAGCAAAATAGTCTTAAAATAGTGAGACCATTAAAATAGAAAGATATGCAAATGAATTTTGAACATCTTGAATTGAGCTGAAAAAGTTCATCATTTTCCATTTTGTTTATCTTTTGTCACCCTGTATGCTATATTTATCATATTAAACAATTGTTTTACATACCCTGGCCACTCTGGCTGACTCAATTACAGGATAATTTTTTTTTTAATATTTGAATTGATAAAATTTAAAACAAATCTAGAATAATTTTTAATGGCTTATCCTCAATACAAAAATATTAAAATAAGTGTAACCAATGTTTCCCAAACAGCTTAAATTTAAAAAAATGAAATCATGATTTTGAGAATGATTATATAGATTTTGACAGACTTTTCAAGGAAATTATGGCGTAGAGCAAGGTTTAGGGTAAGCTAAACTAGTGGTCTAGAATTTCAAGCCTGAAGGATCACCTGAACCAGGGGTGGGCAAAGTGCGGTGTGGGCCACATGCGGCCAGACACCGAGTTTTTTGTGGCCTGCCAGACATTCAGAGAACCCTGCCTTGTACTGAGATTTGCTTCTTGTCCGCGACCGAAAGTTCATCTTACAACTTCAGTTGTAAAAAAATTGTAAAAAAGTGTGATAGGGTGCACTTGTCTCGCTTAACTCATTGTATAATTAAATCTGCTAGCAGCTAGAAATCTAGATATGACATTAGCACCATAAATAAATTTAATAAAACTACCGCTTTTGTTTGAGTCTTATTTATTGATTTTTATTATACCATTTATAATTTTTCTGAAAAGAAATGTAATGTTAACTAAAGAATACAATAATTTTAAATGGTGTGACCCTCGGCTAAAATCCGCTACCACAAAGTGGCCCTCAAGCCGAAGCCCACCCCTAACCTAAACCTTCAGAACTATTTTACTGCTATTTATTTTGCATGTCAGTATCACTGCTACAATTCAGTCTTTATGTGGATGGTTTGGAGTGGAATCAGGACTTTCAAGTGAACAACTCTAATGCTTACAATAATATTAGATCTACCATACTGGAAGTATTTCAAGAACTTGCTGGAAGCATACACACATTATTAATTTCGCAAAAGTAAGTTGAAAACTTAGAAACATACAGACTAAAGTAAGTTTTGAGTGGGGGTGGGGTGTGGGGGGGGGGGGGGGGGGGGGATAAATAACTTGAACATCAATTTTGAATTTTAAAAAAATGTTTGAAGTAGAAATACAAAGGTAGCTATAGCCTACAAAGGTAACAATACAAAGGTAACAATACTAAATTAAATTTAGCATAGGTAGTCAAACCAGTTCTCCAAAATGAAATAGAGTCAAATAAATCATATAATTGTCAGTGATTTGCCTTAACATTTTTGTCACTATGCACAGCGCTATACATCACATTTTTGGTGATGGGCCTGAGGCCTTAGAAATTATTTTTGTTTGCTGAAATTGAATGTCCATATCCTACATACAGAGAAAACTGCACTGTGCTGTTTATTGAATGGACCGCTGCTTCACCTGTGCAGTTTTTGAATGTAATGGACAGAATCAAAACTAAAGGAATAACTTTGAATGGAGAATTATTTCAAGTCAATACATCTCCATGTAAACCAGGTAATAATTTGCTTATGCAGTATGTATGTCAGAATAAGCATTAGCTCATTTACTAAGGCCAGGGGTAGAGTTGGAGTGAGGGCTAAGGTTAGTCTAGCATCACTAGCAAAAAAGATTAAAGATTAACCCTTGTTATGTTTTATATTTAACTTTAATCCACTGGTCAAATATTGTAGGTATGTGCTTGTAGTTAGGTGATTGTAGGGATTGCTGAAATTTGATTGTCGTGACATGCTTGAGTCATTATTGCATTGTCATAGTAGTTATATGATTGTATAATGTGTTTTTGTGATATGATTATAATTATAGTCATGTAGGCCTAATTAAAAGGGTGAGATTGTAGTGGTTGTTGTTATGTCATTGCAATGATTATAGTGGTGTGATTATAATTGTGTGATTGTAGTAATGTGATTTATGTGGTGTTATTGTATTGATGGGATTTTGGTGATGTGATTGTAGCTCTGTGATTGCAGTGATTGTTGTGATTGGATCATAATAAATGTAGTGATGATTGTTGTGTTGTCATTATAATGATGTAAGTTTAGTGATTGTTGTGATGATGCAATTGTAATAATTGTAGTGCTTTGATTGTAGTGCTGTGAATGTAGTAACGCTCTAGTTATAAGCTGATCCCTTTAATGAACAAAATTTATTTATTTAAAATCATAACATTAAAGCTAATTACCATTTTTAAAAATTCAGTTTTCTCCATCACCAGATGAGAAACTATTGCTTGAGTTTCAAATGTTTGTCAAGCTGCTGCCTTGGAGTGAGCAGTTGAAGAACTTGACATCTCCACAGTTTGCTCAAATCAAAGATCTAGTGGAAAAAACATTTGCAGCATTGGGAGGGACATGCATCCAATTAGTCTTAGCACCCAAGTATGCAGGCATTACACATACGACATTACACATATGACATTACACATGACATTTGTCATATGACATTATGCTTAACACATATGACATTACTCATATAACACATGAAATCACTCATATAACATAACACCTGACACATATGACATTACTCATTACTTTAAAGCTATCATCTTTATTGAAATCTCTTCAAAGCCATCAAACAATTGAAATTTCTTTAAAGCTATCATTTTTTTATTGGAATCTCTTTAAAACTATCATTTTATATTGAAATCTCTTTAAAACTATAATTTTTTAAAATTGAAATCTATTTAAAGCTATCAAAAAGCTTTTCAAAATTTACAGAGGAAAATGTTTTTATCAATAATAAAAACTATACATTTTTACAATGAAATTAATAACAGTTAAATGCTTTATTAATATAATGTTCATACAAATTTACGTTATTAAATAAAAGTAGCCAGGTGATTGTTGTAATGTACACATACACGAGCATATAAATATAGAGTGTTATATGTAAAAAGTAGTCCCAGTATCATGTAGGCCAACTGGCATTACATTACTAAAATGGTTAATGTGTTATTTCATATATTTTTTATCTTAAGAGCTGAGTGTGTAATGCTGTTTATTCAGTGGGAGACAACTATAAACAATACAGAATTGTTTTTGGGATTAATGGAAAACATTAAAAAATCTGGAGTTACTTTTATGGGGAAGAAATTTGATGTCAGCACAAAAGAGTGTGAAATTAGTGTACTTGAAGGTAAATACTTTTCTCTTGATGTATGTCTATGTGTGTGTGTGTATGTTTGTGGGTGTGTGGGGAATGGATCTTATTTATGAATAAGGAACAGATTTATTATTTTTTTTCTAAAATTAACATAAGCCTTTTCAAATGGATTAGGGCTAGGGTTAGATGGATTAGATGGATTAGATGGATTAGATGGATTAGATGGTAACCTTTGAGACTGGAGGGGCTCTTATTTAGACAGGAGCGTCACATGGGGGGGTGGTGGTATGATAGACTGCACTTAGGGACACAAGTTTAGAGGTGACAAATCATCTGGTGGCAGAGGCATAGCTGGGAAGGGGGGGGGGGGCGCCTATATGAGTATAATAAAATTTAAAAGCTCATTTTAAGTTATATGTTTTAGTTGATAAGCTTTGTCACTTATAAGATAAACCAATTGTATTAAAGTGTATTGTACGATTGTGTAACATTAAAAAAAGAGTTAATGACATTAAAACTTCTCACAGCAATACATTATGGGTGATTTTATTTAAAATGCCTTTTGCACAACAACCCACGTAGTTCTACAATTTGGTGTTATTATGACCCCAACAACCAATATAGTTCTAGAATTTGGTGTTATTATGACCCCAACAACCCATATAGTTCTAGAATTTGGTGTTATTATGACCCCAACAACCTATATAGTTCTAGAATTTGGTGTTATTATGACCCCAACAACCTATATAGTTCTAGAATTTGGTGTTATTATGACCCCAACAACCTATATAGTTCTAGAATTTGGTGTTATTATGACCCCAACAACCTATATAGTTCTAGAATTTGGTGTTATTATGACCCCAACAACCTATATAGTTCTAGAATTTGGTGTTATTATGACCCCAACAACCTATATAGTTCTAGAATTTGGTGTTATTATGACCCCAACAACCCATATAGTTCTAGAATTTGACAAGAGTTTGTAAAAATAATTTTTTTTAAAAAGGGCATAATGACCAGGTCAAAACTTTCCTCTATTTCCTCACATATGACCCACATATGACCCACATATGACCCACATATGACCCACCTATGACTCACATGACTCACATATGACTCACATATGACTCACATATGACTCACATATGACTCACATATGACTCACATATGACTCACATATGACTCACATATGACTCACATATGACTCACATATGACTCACATATGACTCACATATGACTCACATATGACTCACATATGACTCACATATGACTCACCTATGACTCACATATGACCCACCTATGACCCACATATGACCCACCTATGACTCACATGACTCACATATGACTCACATATGACTCACATATGACTCACATATGACTCACATATGACTCACATATGACTCACCTATGACTCACATATGACTCACATATGACTCACATATGACTCACATATGACTCACCTATGACTCACATATGACTCACATATGACTCACATATGACTCACCTATGACTCACATATGACTCACATATGACTCACATATGACTCACATATGACCCACCTATGACCCACATATGACTCACATATGACTCACATATGACTCACATATGACTCACATATGACTCACATATGACTCACATATGACTCACATATGACTCACATATGACTCACATATGACCCACATATGACTCACATATGACTCACATATGACTCACATATGACTCACATATGACCCACCTATGACTCACCTATGACTCACCTATGACTCACATATGACTCACATATGACTCACATATGACTCACATATGACTCACATATGACTCACATATGACCCACATATGACTCACATATGACTCACATATGACTCACCTATGACTCACCTATGACTCACATATGACTCACATATGACCCATATATGACCCACCTATGACTCACATATGACCCATATATGACCCACCTATGACTCACATATGACCCACAAGTGACCCTCATATGACCCACATTTTTTTCTGATTTAACCTCCTGTATTTATGCTGAACTCTAATCATGATAATCGTTACAATTACATAACATTACAGTTTGATTTATGACATCAATTGTCAATTATCTCATAAACATAACTATGAAATAGCAAAATCAAATGTATGTTGTAAGCCAGCATGAAATGATGGTATGTAGTCTATAATATGAAATGAATGTATCAGATATTGTATGTAGTCTATAATATGAAATGAATGTATCAGATATTGTATGTAGTCTATAATATGAAATGATGGTAGGCCTATCAGATATTGTATGTAGTCTATAATGTGAAATAATAGTATCAGATATTGTATGTAGTCTATAATATGAAATAATGGTATTAGAAATTGTATGTAGTCTATAATATGAAATGAATGTATCAGATATTGTATGTAGTCTATAATATGAAATAATGGTATCAGATATTGTATGTAGTCTATAATATGAAATAATGGTAGACCTATCAGATATTGTATGTAGTCTATAATATGAAATGAATGTATCAGATATTGTATGTAGTCTATAATATGAAATAATGGTATCAGATATTGTATGTAGTCTATAATATGAAATGAATGTATCAGATATTGTATGTAGTCTATAATATGAAATAATGGTATCAGATATTGTATGTAGTCTATAATATGAAATGAATGTATCAGATATTGTATGTAGTCTATAATATGAAATAATGGTATCAGATATTGTATGTAGTCTATAATATGAAATGATGGTAGGCCTATCAGATATTGTATGTAGTCTATAATATGAAATAATGGTATCAGATATTGTATGTAGTCTATAATATGAAATAATGGTATTAGATATTGTATGTAGTCTATAATATGAAATGAATGTATCAGATATTGTATGTAGTCTATAATATGAAATAATGGTATTAGATATTGTATGTAGTCTATAATATGAAATGAATGTATCAGATATTGTATGTAGTCTATAATATGAAATAATGGTATCAGATATTGTATGTAGTCTATAATATGAAATGATGGTAGACCTATCAGATATTGTATGTAGTCTATAATATGAAATGAATGTATCAGATATTGTATGTAGTCTATAATATGAAATGATGGTATCAGATATTGTATGTAGTCTATAATATGAAATGATGGTATCAGATATTGTATGTAGTCTATAATATGAAATGAATGTATCAGATATTGTATGTAGTCTATAATATGAAATGATGGTATCAGATATTGTATGTAGTCTATAATATGAAATGATGGTATCAGATATTGTACGTAGTCTATAATATGAAATGAATGTATCAGATATTGTATGTAGTCTATAATATGAAATAATGGTATCAGATATTGTATGTAGTCTATAATATGAAATGAATGTATCAGATATTGTATGTAGTCTATAATATGAAATGATGGTATCAGATATTGTATGTAGTCTATAATATGAAATGAATGTATCAGATATTGTATGCAGTCTATAATATGAAATGATGGTATCAGATATTGTATGTAGTCTATAATATGAAATGAATGTATCAGATATTGTATGTAGTCTATAATATGAAATGAATGTATCAGATATTGTATGTAGTCTATAATATGAAATAATGGTATCAGATATTGTATGTAGTCTATAATATGAAATGATGGTAGGCCTATCAGATATTGTATGTAGTCTATAATATGAAATAATGGTATCAGATATTGTATGTAGTCTATAATATGAAACGAATGTATCAGATATTGTATGTAGTCTATAATATGAAATAATGGTATCAGATATTGTATGTAGTCTATAATATGAAATAATGGTATCAGATATTGTATGTAGTCTATAATATGAAATGATGGTATCAGATATTGTATGTAGTCTATAATATGAAATGATGGTAGGCCTATCAGATATTGTATGTAGTCTATAATATGAAATGAATGTATCAGATATTGCATGTAGTCAGGGGCGGAACTACAGTGCCGCCAGACCCCGCAATGCGGGGGGGCCCAGGCCGTTTAGGGGCCCACAGCCGACCATGATCAATTTTTTTTATAGTTAAGAATAATTTTCTTGTAAAAAAACAAACAGATCTACTACAGTTGTGATGTACTACAGTAGCTAACACACACTGTATCTTAAAGTTGTAGTGTGTAAGATAGGCAACCGTTCAAACCGCTTCCATGACTTATTTCCCTTTTTTGAATAGTCAAATACGTGTGTTCTTAAGAAACTTTAAATAAATTTGCACTAAACAAATTAGAAAGCAATTACATCTCTTAATTATTATTTTTTTAAATACGTAATAAAGAATGAAATAGTAAAAAAGGAAATGTATTAAAAACTAATAATATAAATACAAAAAAAACTTTAAATAAACATAAGGGGAGAAACCATTACACATACAAAGCTTTCTTGCTTCATATTCTTTTGACCGACTTGCTAATCGGAAACATGTCAAACACTAAAACAAAGAATTTCAAAACAGATTAATAGCACTTACACTTGATGTGTAGTTGCTGTATTATGATTTAATTAAAATAAAAACTAAAAATTTTTAATTTTTCAAATTTCGAACAAGCCCGAATTGAGTATTCTATGGTCGTATTTTGGTATATATATATATATATATATATATATATATATATATATATATATATATATATATATATATATATATATATATATATATATGGGGCCCAAAAATTTTTTTGCGGGGTGGCCCAATTTTTCTAGTTCCGCCACTGCATGTAGTCTATAATATAAAATGATGGTAGGCCTATCAGATATTGTATGTAGTCTATAATATGAAATGAATGTATCAGATATTGTATGTAGTCTATAATATGAAATAATGGTATCAGATATTGTATGTAGTCTATAATATGAAATAATGGTATCAGATATTGTATGTAGTCTATAATATGAAATGATGGTAGACCTATCAGATATTGTATGTAGTCTATAATATGAAATGATGGTATCATATATTGTATGTAGTCTATAATATGAAATGATGGTAGGCCTATCAGATATTGTATGTAGTCTATAATATGAAATGAATGTATCAGATATTGTATGTAGTCTATAATATGAAATGAATGTATCAGATATTGTATGTAGTCTATAATATGAAATGATGGTATCAGATATTGTATGTAGTCTATAATATGAAATAATGGTATCAGATATTGTATGTAGTCTATAATATGAAATAATTATATCAGATATTGTATGTAGTCTATAATATGAAACGAATGTATCAGATATTGTATGTAGTCTATAATATGAAATGATGGTAGGCCTATCAGATATTGTATGTAGTCTATAATATGATGGTTGTATTGATCTCTCCCTATTTTGTTTACACCTCATAGATGATGTCCAAATTTTGCAAGCAAATTTTGTTGTCAACATGTCTTACATTGAAGAGCTACAATCTCAGAAATCTTATCTAGAATTAGAGGTAACCCTAGTCTTCTATCTACTTGCCTCTAGAATTAGAGCGACCTAGTCTTCTATCTACTTGCCTCTAGAATTAGAGCGACCTAGTCTTCTATCTACTTGCCTCTAGAATTAGAGCGACCTAGTCTTCTATATACTTGCCTTGTGTGTGTTGTCCTGTTATTGTAAGTGTTAGGGTTGGGTTTAAACAAACTGCTGTAAGTTAGGATTTGTGTTTGTGAGTTTGTAACATGTAATTAATTGTGCTTTTGTGATTTTTTTTTTTACTAAGAAAACAAAACAGACAAAAAAAAACCTAAAATAACATGATTGATAAACCGATCAAATTTTCTAATACAAATCAGCCTATAGAGCTAAGTGATATCAATGATGTGAAGATTTTTCTTTTAGGTAATGTAGAATTCACCTTAAAACTGTAGGATTAAATGCAGTGGCTGAACTAGAAAAAATGGGCCACCTGCATAAAAAAAAATGTTGGGCCCCTATATATATATATATATATATATATATATATATATATATATATATATATATATATATATATAACACAAAATACAAACAAACAATACTCATTTTCGAGCCTGATCAGGTTTTGAAAAAAAATTATTTGCTTTTTTTTTCATATTAAACAAATTACAACAACGAATGTGTGTGAGTGCATTAGTCTGTTTTGAAAATCTCCATTTTATTTTATATCAGCCGTAACGCATAGTTAGCGCGAACCTGTCAAAAGTATATACACATGAAAGCTTTGTATTTGTAATGGTTTCTTGTGTTATGTTTATTTTTATGTTTTTTTGTATTTATAATATTAATTTTAACACATTTTCATTTTTATACAATGGCATTCTTTAGTATGTATTTTAAGAAAACTAATAATTAAGAGATGTAATTGCTTATTAATTTGTTTAGTACAAATCTTTTAAAAGTAGCTTACGGTCATTCTTTCTTGACTATTTAAAAAGGGAAATAAGTCATGGAAGTGGTTTGATTAAAAATTTACCTCTTTCACATTACAGCTCATCTATGCATGTATATTTTTTTATTTAACGCAACAGCTTGTATTAGCCAGATACGGAACTAGAAAAATGAAGCCTATTGTAAAATACTGAAGGGAGATAATTCAAATTATATGCGCTTACTATCACATTTTTTGTATAACAAAAAGAAGTAAACGTACATAAAACCGAAGTTATTGTTATTGTATTAATTTGAATTATTATAGTATAGAATAGTAGTTCTACCAATACAACAAGCGTACATATTACTTAGTAAAACCACAATGAATTGTGGGTCCCTAACCAATTAATTATGGTCGGCTGTGGACCCCCATATGGCCAGGGCCCCCCCCCCCCCTCCGCAATGCATATGCGGGGTCTGGCGGCACTGTAGTTCTGCCCCTGATTAAATGACTACATGAAAGTTTCGCCATTGTAAAGAAAAATTTTCATCTGATTAAGCATTTAAAAAAAAATTAGACATTGCTGTTGATAATAATATTATTAATATAAGCATTTAAAAAGTAAATATTTATTGCTTTTGGTAATAAAATTTAATGAATCTTTGATGAATCTTTTCATGTATGAAAGCTTTGTCTCCTCAGATGAGCCAATTCTTGCTGAGCTACAACATGCCTGGTTTCAAGTCGGCATCCATCATCTCTATTTCATCATATGACAGCAGCCAGTTCAGAGGGAAACGTCAAATGTATGTGGCAGTTTTAATCAATGGCAACATGACATCTGTCCACATAATTGACATGACATTTTGAGGTCTCAAATGACTGATATCAGTTGATGTTAATTTACTGACCATAGTTAAAAACAAAATTTCTTATAGAAGTTAACATTTTTGTTGACAGCAAAACAAGCACTCTATTTGTCTTGGAGTTACTCTTTAACTCCAGTCTCTCAGTGGAATCTATTAATATGGCTGCAATACAAATAAAGGCAAAACCTCTTCTCTTGGGTGGACTTCACATTCAGATTCTCAACATTAGTTTTGGTGATGCAGGTATTGTGTGGAACATGTGGTTGGTGTGTGGAACATGTGGTTAGTGTGTGGAACAGGTGGTTGGTGTGTGGAACAGGTGGTTGGTGTGTGGAACATGTGGTTGGTGTGTGGAACATGTGGTTAGTGTGTGGAACATGTGGGTGGTGTGTGGTTGTTGCGTGAAACATGTGGTTGGTGTGTGGTTGGTGTGTGGTTGGTGTGTGGAACATGTGGGTGGTGTGTGGTTGATTTGTGGAACATGTGGTTGTTGTGTGGAACATATGGTTGTTGGGTGGAACATATGGGTGGTGTATGGAACGTGTTGCTGGTGTGTGGTTGGTGTGTGGAAATTGGGGTTGATGTGTGGAACATGTGGTTGGTGTGTGGAACATGTGGTTGTTGTGTGGAACATGTGGTTGGTGTGTGGAACATGTGGTTGGTGTGTGGAACATGTGGTTAGTGTGTGGAACAAGCATTTTGTTTGTGGTTGGTGTGTAAAAAATGTGGTTTGTGTTTGAGTTTTCATTTGAGTGAGTAGCTGTGAATGATCTAGAGAGTACATATTGAATGAACTTAGCCAAATAAATAAATGATTTGGTGTCTGCTGTTTCAGCTGGCTGCCCTGCCTGCTCTGCTGGCTCCTTGTGCCTGTCAGACAAATATGGGCTTAAATTCTGTGCTTGTTCTGACAATAGATCTGGACCTACATGTTCAGTTCAAAGTGAGTAACTGCTAAATAGGAACTTTAACAGTTAAATATAACTATAAACATTACAAGGATTAATCAAATTCTTGTATTTTGTAGACTGTGTCAAGAATAAGCTTTGTATTTTGTAGACTGTGTCAAGAGTAAGCTTTGTATTTTGTAGACTGTGTCAAGAATAAGCTTTGTATTTTGTAGACTGTGTCAAGAATAAGCCTTGCCTGAATTCAGGAACCTGCAGTTTCTCCTACTTAAAGCAAGAGCCTCAGTGTCACTGCCAAGCTGGTTATACAGGAACAAATTGTGAAGGTATACTTTTATCTACTTTAATTTTTTATATAGGAATAAATTTTGAAGGTATACTTTTATCTACTTTAATTTTTTATATAGGAACAAATTGGGAAGGTATACTTTTATCTACTTTAATTAGCGCAATTTCCATTCTGGAGAATTGCGTTTATTAACTCGTCATTTCTGGGAATGTATGGATGGTTGAATGTATGGATGTATGAATGTGTGTCCGGGCTTTAAGTCGTATCTCCTCCTCAACGAAGCAATATCGATGACTAGTTACAAAAGCAATTATGTTAAGCAAGTTACGAGGATGAACATAGGCCATAAAAATTCAGGGTTTCTTTCATGGATTTCCCGAAAAAGCCAAAAAACCTCGAAAAAATGCAGTTTTTGGCCCATATCTCGGCAACCAGACCACTTAGCGACTTGAAACATGTACCAATAGATTTCTGCCTTAATTTAGAACAATATTGCCGAAGAAAGTTTTCAAAAATATCCTTTCGTTCGGTCACAAAAAAATTTTTGAATTAATTAAAATTTTGACCGAATTAGTAGGCATTTTTTCCAACCACACCACACGCGTCATCACGTTCAATAGCTGCGCCATCGCGTTCCATGGCTGCGCCATCATGTTCAGTAGGCGCGCAATGGTTTTTAGTCATGTACCTCTATTGTAAATAAAACATGTAAAATACTGAAAAAAAATTAATAAAAAACGTTTTAATAACTAACCAATGGTTTTACTAGCCCTGCTCTTGATTTACGCTACGACAGAGCTATTTTTAGATAACATAAGGAAATTGCGCTAAAATTGTCACTAGACTTTTTAATTACCTTGTTTTTTATATAGGAATAAATTGTGAAGGTATACTTTTATCTACTTTAATTTTTTATATAGGAACAAATTGGGAAGGTATACTTTTATCTACTTTAATTTTTTATATAGGAATAAATTGTGAAGGTATACTTTTATCTACTTTAAATTTTTATATAGGAACAAATTGTGAAGGCATACTTTTATCTACTTTAATTTTTTATATAGGAATAAATTGTGAAGGTATACTTTTATCTACTTTAATTTTTTATATAGGAACAAATTGTGAAGGTATACTTTTATCTACTTTTAATTTTTTATATAGGAACAAATTGTGAAGGTATACTTTTATCTACTTTTAATTTTTTATATAGGAACAAATTGTGAAGTTATACTTTTATCTGCTTTAATTTTTTATATAGGAATAAATTGTGAAGGTATACTTTTATCTACTTTAATTTTTTATATAGGAACAAATTGTGAAGGTATACTTTTATCTACGTTAATTTTTTATATAGGAATAAATTGTGAAGGTATACTTTTATCTACTTTTAATTTTTTATATAGGAACAAATTGTGAAGGTATACTTTTATCTACTTTCAATTTTTTATATAGGAATAAATTGTGAAGGTATACTTTTATCTACATTTAATTTTTTTAATAGGAACTAATTGTGAAGGCATACTTTTATCTACTTTTAATTTTTTTATATAGGAATAAATTGTGAAGGTATACTTTTATCTACTTTTATTTTTTTTGATAGGAACAAATTGTGAAGGCATACTTTTATCTACTTTCAATTTTTTATATAGGAATAAATTGTGAAGGTATACTTTTATCTACTTTTAATTTTTTATATAGGAACAAATTGTGAAGGTATACTTTTATCTACTTTTAATTTTTTATATAGGAACAAATTGTGAAGGTATACTTTTATCTACTTTAATTTTTTATATAGGAACAAATTGTGAAGGTATACTTTTATCTACTTTTAATTTTTATATAGGAATAAATTGTGAAGATATAATTTAAGCTCTTTTATTTTGACTTTAAATATTTTTAATAAACCTTTATATTTGGAAGTTAACCTACAACTTTAGAAATGTTTTTCCCCTTTACATTTTTATTAACCAGGTGAAGCTTTTCATTTAAAAGAAATTAGAATTAAGTTTATGGAATGGGGGACATGGGGACTTTGGAACATGTTCAAATAATTGTTTCAGTTTTATTTTTTTCTTCTTTGTTTATCATTGGGTAATTATAATGGATTTGCAATTGCCCAGGAGCATTAATTTCTCAGTTCACTGGGCTATGCTGGATAATATACTAGGCCAAAGAATATCCAAACAAGAGAAATTTGACTCTCAAAAGGTTAAATGGTTACATAATAATGAAGATAAAATGTTCAAATAAATCTGAATATTAAATATTAAGGAGGGTGTAAAATAGTTACATACATCCATTTTACTGACAAATACATAATATCATTAGATTGAAGTATTGTATAGACCCTACTTCAGACAAAATGTGTGAAATAGTATAATTCCTTTAAAAACTTCCACTCCATATTTCAGTCAATTTGTGCCAATTAGTCTAAGAACTTCCACTCCATATTTCAGTTAATTTGTGCCAATTGGTCTAAGAACTTCCACTCCATATTTTCAGTCAATTTGTGCCAATTAGTCTAAGAACTTCCACTCCATATTTTCAGTTAATTTGTGCCAATTAGTCAAGGAGGGAGCCTGTCAGTCAGGGGCTTGTGTCATGGATCTCATCGACTGGAATCTTTGCAGCTGCCCCTATGGCACCAGTGGACTTTTCTGTCAGAACTCCCAGAACTCCCCTGCTGAGTTGAGCATTTGTGAGAAGAAAAGCCAGGTCATGACCTATCTGCTCTCTGTGCTGCAACAGGAAGTGGCCAATGAGAAATTTTCCGTTGAGATTAGTCAGCTGTTAGCAAAGATTGATGACAGTGCATTTATCTCAGTTCCAGCTTGCAAAAATGGTAATTTTAAATTCATTCTGCTAGTCTAAATCTAAAGACATGCACTGTTAACCCTTGTAAATAGGTTAACTAAATACATTTTAGCATCTTATTTTCATTGAAGATTTCATTTGTGTTTATTCTGTACCTTTGAGTTTATATTTTTAATAATTGCCATTTAAGGGTGGTTTTATTCGACCTGCAACTACAATAAAGTCACAGGAAAGATAGACGTATGTTATTGTGTCAATGAGAACAATACTGCACTCCTTGACTTAGATTACAACACCAGCACAAAACAATGTCAAGGTAAAACAATCTCCAGCTTTGGGTTAAGGTTATGACTGTGTGTGTATGTGTGTGTGTGAGATGGTGAATCAATCAATCTTATTGGAACATTTGCCAGTGAAAAATCAGTTTGAAATGTTTGGAACTATCCGTTTTAGTTATAAAATCCCACTTTAAAATATAGCATAATACCTGAACAGCTTCAGAAAATAAGAGGTAAATTTCAGCAACAAAATCAATCAAAGACAAATGAGGTTAGAAAATACCAAGTTAGGATGTGTTTGGTTTTTAAAGGACAAGCAAATTATAAAATTTGAAGGGTAATGGTAAAATCTTGTAAAAATGAAAAAAGTGATTTATGATTATTTCAGATTTTTGTAATTTCCACTCAGAGTATCAAAAATTTAATCCCATTTAACTTATGATCATAAAACAAATTTTCTTTGATCTAATGTTACTAAATTAAGGTTTTAGCTAATTTTTTTTATATATAAAACTTTCCTTTTTTTCAGTTTCATCAAACGCTTGTAAAAAAGTAACTTGTCTGAATAATGGACGATGTGAAAATATGGAAAATGGGAACTTCTCCTGTAAATGTCCACCCATGTTTGAAGGGACACTGTGTGAAAGTAAGTCTTCATATCAGCATATACAGGGTTGGCATAACCCTAACCCTAACCCATGATTGAAGGGACACTGTGTGAAAGTAAGTCTTCATATCAGCATATACAGGGTTGGCATAACCCTAACCCTAACCCATGATTGAAGGGACACTGTGTGAAAGTAAGTCTTCATATCAGCATATACAGGGTTGGCATAACCCTAACCCTAACCCATGTTTGAAGGGACACTGTGTGAAAGTAAGTCTTCTTATCAGCATATACAGGGTTGGCATAACCCTAACCCTAACCCATGTTTGAAGGGACACTGTGTGAAAGTAAGTCTTCTTATCAGCATATACAGGGTTGGCATAACCCTAACCCTAACCCATGTTTGAAGGGACACTGTGTGAAAGTAAGTCTTCTTATCAGCATATACAGGGTTGGCATAACCCTAACCCTAACCCATGTTTGAAGGGACACTGTGTGAAAGTAAGTCTTCTTATCAGCATATACAGGGTTGGCATAACCCTAACCCTAACCCATGATTGAAGGGACACTGTGTGAAAGTAAGTCTTCTTATCAGCATATACAGGGTTGGCATAACCCTAACCCTAACCCATGATTGAAGGGACACTGTGTGAAAGTAAGTCTTCATATCAGCATATACAGGGTTGGCATAAACTTGAAGATGAGTTTAGTTGCACCAAAGTTGACCCTACATTTGACCCTACACTTGACCCTAGACTTGACCGTATTTTGACCCTATACTTGACCCTACACTTAACCCTACACTTGACCTTGCACTTGACCCTACACTTGACCCTACATTTGACCCTACACTTGACAAGGGTCATGGACAAGGCAGATGACTGTGTGTCCCCTACACACTAACCCTCAGTGGCTAACCCCCTACACACACTACCTTCAGTTTCTGACCCCACATACACAACCGTCAATGTGTGACACCCCCACTGATGGGTTACAGACCCTAAATTGGAAGTTTAAATTTAACTAGCTTGAGAGTTCTAACCCTAACCCCACCAACCCTAACCCTACTAACTCTAACTCCACTAACCCTAACCCCACTAACCCTAACCCCACTAACCCTAACCCTACTAACCCTAACCCCACTAACTCTAATCCCACTAACCCTAATCCCACTAACCCTAACCCCACTAACCCTAATCCCACTAACCCTAACCCCACTAACCCTAACCCTACTAACCCTAACCCTACTAACCCTAATCCCACTAACCCTAACCCCACTAACCCTAACCCTACTTACCCTAACCCTACCAACCCTAACCCCACTAACCCTAACCCTAACCCCACTAACCCTAATCCCACTAACCCTAATCCCACTAACCCTAACCCCACTAACCCTAACCCTACTAACCCTAGTCCCACTAACCCTAACCCCACTAACCCTAACCCTACTTACCCTAACCCTACCAACCCTAACCCCACTAACCCTAACCCTAACCCCCCTAACCCTAACCCTAACCCTAATCCCACTAACCCTAACCCCACTAACCCTAACCCCACTAACCCTAACCCTACTTACCCTAACCCTACCAACCCTAACCCCACTAACCCTAACCCTAACCCCACTAACCCTAACCCCACTAACCCTAACCCTACTAACCCTAACCCCACTAACCCTAACCCTACTAACCCTAACCCCACTAACCCTAACCCCACCAACCCTAACCCCACTAACCCTAACCCCACTAACCTTAACCCTACTAACCCTAACCCTACTAACCCTAACCCCACCAACCCCACCCATGGTAACACAGTGGCTCAATATAAAACCATTCAAATAAAAACTATTCTACATAAAACTCCCCCAACAGAACTATTTGACATCAAAAAAAGAAAACACAATACATCCTGTTGTTAATAGATCAAAAACACTAACATTCCAAAATAAACAAAAACATGCTGTTTATAAAGACAATGAACAGTCCAGTTCTAAGCATCAACAAAATCTTGACCCTACATTGACCTGTAAGACACCAAACATTTTTTTTCAGCCCCATGTTCACCTGAGAAAAGTGAAGTTTGTCGATATCCAGAATGGTGGTGTTCAAACGAGGTACAGCTTTTTTTTATCCTTCAGACTTTAGTTTCATAAATATAGCAATGTTTTTAAAATGATCTGTCAATAATACACACATTAAAACATAACCATGATGCCATTGAATTAATTGACAGTTGAAATGTAAAGAAGGTTTAGAGAAATGTTTGCGAGTTGAGTGCAGTGGCTGCCCTGAGAAAATGAAGCTACAATGTATTGGTGAGTCTGGTTTTAAAACTTTCAAATAGGGTTGTTTTTTGTCTAAGCACTTTTTTTGCTTATATAAAAGAATTCTGTAATATTTTTAATGTTTAAAGTGTACTAGTACAGTAGTTTGGTTCACACCAGTACAGCAGGTTATATGTATAAGTAAAAAATTATGGAACAAGTTGTAGCTTAAAGTTACTTTTGCTCAATAGCCTTCTTTCTCTTTTACTTTAGGCTGGTCTATTTTCTTAAAGCCAAACATCCAAATTTTGGTCTCCATTAATGCTTGAAGCATTAATGTCTCCATCCATGTCACCATTAAATGTCTGTGTCCATGTCACCATCAAATGTGTCGTGCCATGTCACCATTAAATGACAGAGACCTGTTGGGAATGAAGTTTCATTTTATTTTTTAAATTTTCATCTTCTGACTTCACTTTTATCACCAAGTTGTTTTTCTGACCAAAAAACACAAGATCAATTGATACAATCTATCCAATAACAACACTTGAGTTTGTTTTTTGTAATAGGCCTGTGTATTTGTTTACAGCCAAAGAAAAAACAACTCCGTGTGATCCACAGCCATGCCATGAAAACAGTGCAGAGTTGTGTGATCCTTGTAGTAACCATGGCACTTGCTATCTTCGTAATAGCTCAGTATTTACTGGTCAGTCTTTTGGTCAACACTTAATTAACAAATTATAAGCTAAAAAATGTGTTGGTGTATTTTGCGTTTTTAGTTTACTAATTGCTCTTGTCATTTCTTTGAAATTATCTCATTTTGATTATAATCATGATTATTAAAACAGTTTGATAAACTTATAAAAATTTTTGTAATTCATTAAATATGCACATTATAAAGGTAATATCTAAACATTTAATGAGATATTATGTAGTGATTTAAAATAACACAAAATTTTTTTAAATGTGCCATCTAATGATTTAAACGTGAACCCTTTATTAAGATATTATGTGGTGATTTTAAAATTAAATTCTTCCATTACCAGTGAACCTTTTATTAAGATATTATGTGGTGATTTTAAAATTAAATTCTTCCATTACCAGTGCTTTTATTAAGATATTATGTGGTGATTTTAAAATTAAATTCTTCTATTACCAGTGCTTTTATTAAGATATTATGTGGTGATTTTAAAATTAAATTCTATCATTACCAGTGAACCTTTTATTAAGATATTATGTGGTGATTTTAAAATTAAATTCTTCCATTACCAGTGAACCTTTTATTAAGATATTATGTGGTGATTTTAAAATTAAATTCTTCCATTACCAGTGCTTTTATTAAGATATTATGTGGTGATTTTAAAATTAAATTCTTCCATTACCAGTGAAACTTTTATTAAGATATTATGTGGTGATTTTAAAATTAAATTCTTCCATTACCAGTGAACCTTTTATTAAGATATTATGTGGTGATTTTAAAATTAAATTCTTCCATTACCAGTGAACCTTTTATTAAGATATTATGTGGTGATTTTAAAATTAAATTCTTCCATTACCAGTGAACCTTTTATTAAGATATTATGTGGTGATTTTAAAATTAAATTCTTCCACTACCAGTGAACCTTTTATTAAGATATTATGTGGTGATTTTAAAATTAAATTCTTCCATTACCAGTGAACCTTTTATTAAGATATTATGTGGTGATTTTAAAATTAAATTCTTCCATTACCAGTGAACCTTTTATTAAGATATTATGTGGTGATTTTAAAATTAAATTCTTCCATTACCAGTGCTTTTATTAAGATATTATGTGGTGATTTTAAAATTAAATTCTTCCATTACCAGTGCTTTTATTAAGATATTATGTGGTGATTTTAAAATTAAATTCTTCCATTACCAGTGAAACTTTTATTAAGATATTATGTGGTGATTTTAAAATTAAATTCTTCCATTACCAGTGAACCAGCTGGATCATGTCTGTGTATGCAACAAAGGAAGGGCAGGGGTCAAATGTCAAGTGAACAGTAGGTCAAGGTTTTGCTCAATCTAAAAATAGCCATATTTAATATATTAGGCATACTGAGCAACATGACTGTGTGTGTGTTTATATGGGTGGTGTGTGTGTTGTGATGATAAGTGTAGAAATCATTAATTAAAGAGAAAATCAATGTATGTATAACTGTTGCCCACCATGTATAATAATTGCTAGAAGCATCGTGAGGCATGGGGCTGGGGTGTGGACCGCACAGAGTGACACCACTTAGGGGGGGGGGGGGGCGACACCAAGACAAAAAAAATATATATGTAAGCCATCATATAAAGTCTGTGCATGACCTAAAGATGGCCAGCATGTTAATGTGGTCTGTGCATGACCTAAAGATGGCCAGCATGTTAATGTGGTTTGTGCATGACCTAAAGATGGCCAGCATGTTAATGTGGTCTGTGCATGACCTAAAGATGGCCAGCATGTTAATGTGGTTTGTGCATGACCTGTCTTGTTGAAAACACATATAGAACCTCATTTGGGTCTGAGAGAAGTCTCTCTCTCAAGGTGGAACCTTTCATTGGCACAAGATAGCCCAGTGTCCAGTCAGATGGGATTATCTCATCTTCCCAAATCTGCTTAAAGTAGAGATTGTAATATATCTGCAGATGTAATGGGTCTGCTGTAATATATCTGCAGATGTCATGGGTCTGCTGTAATATATCTGTAGATGTCATGGGTCTGCTGTAATATATCTGTAGATGTCATGGGTCTGCTGTAATATATCTGCAGATGTCATGGGTCTGCTGTAATATATCTGCAGATGTCATGGGTCTGCTGTAATATATCTGTAGATGTCATGGGTCTGCTGTAATATATCTGTAGATGTCATGGGTCTGCTGTAATATATCTGCAGATGTTGCTGAGTCTGCTGTTATATATCTGCAGATGTTGCTGAGTCTGCTGTAATATATCTGCAGATGTCATGGGTCTGCTGTAATATATCTGCAGATGTCATGGGTCTGCTGTAATATATCTGTAGATGTCATGGGTCTGCTGTAATATATCTGCAGATGTAATGGGTCTGCTGTAATATATCTGCAGATGTCATGGGTCTGCTGTAATATATCTGCAGATGTCATGGGTCTGCTGTAATATATCTGTAGATGTCATGGGTCTGCTGTAATATATCTGTAGATGTCATGGGTCTGCTGTAATATATCTGCAGATGTAATGGGTCTGCTGTAATATATCTGCAGATGTCATGGGTCTGCTGTAATATATCTGCAGATGTCATGGGTCTGCTGTAATATATCTGCAGATGTCATGGGTCTGCTGTAATATATCTGCAGATGTCGCTTAGTCTGCTGTAATATATCTGCAGATGTCATGGGTCTGCTGTAATATATCTGCAGATGTCATGGGTCTGCTGTAATATATCTGCAGATGTCATGGGTCTGCTGTAATATATCTGCAGATGTCATGGGTCTGCTGTAATATATCTGCAGATGTCATGGGTCTGCTGTAATATATCTGCAGATGTCGCTTAGTCTGCTGTAATATATCTGCAGATGTCATGGGTCTGCTGTAATATATCTGCAGATGTCATGGGTCTGCTGTAATATATCTGTAGATGTCATGGGTCTGCTGTAATATATCTGCAGATGTCATGGGTCTGCTGTAATATATCTGCAGATGTCGCTTAGTCTGCTGTAATATATATGTAGATGTCATGGGTCTGCTGTAATATATCTGCAGATGTCATGGGTCTGCTGTAATATATCTGTAGATGTCATGGGTCTGCTGTAATATATCTGCAGATGTAATGGGTCTGCTGTAATATATCTGCAGATGTCATGGGTCTGCTGTAATATATCTGCAGATGTCGCTGGGTCTGCTGTAATATATATGTAGATGTCATGGGTCTGCTGTAATATATCTGCAGATGTCATGGGTCTGCTGTAATATATCTGTAGATGTCATGGGTCTGCTGTAATATATCTGCAGATGTAATGGGTCTGCTGTAATATATCTGCAGATGTCATGGGTCTGCTGTAATATATCTGCAGATGTCATGGGTCTGCTGTAATATATCTGCAGATGTCATGGGTCTGCTGTAATATATCTGCAGATGTCATGGGTCTGCTGTAATATATCTGCAGATGTCGCTTAGTCTGCTGTAATATATCTGCAGATGTCATGGGTCTGCTGTAATATATCTGCAGATGTCATGGGTCTGCTGTAATATATCTGCAGATGTCATGGGTCTGCTGTAATATATCTGCAGATGTCATGGGTCTGCTGTAATATATCTGCAGATGTCATGGGTCTGCTGTAATATATCTGCAGATGTCGCTTAGTCTGCTGTAATATATCTGCAGATGTCATGGGTCTGCTGTAATATATCTGCAGATGTCATGGGTCTGCTGTAATATATCTGTAGATGTCATGGGTCTGCTGTAATATATCTGCAGATGTCATGGGTCTGCTGTAATATATCTGCAGATGTCGCTTAGTCTGCTGTAATATATATGTAGATGTCATGGGTCTGCTGTAATATATCTGCAGATGTCATGGGTCTGCTGTAATATATCTGTAGATGTCATGGGTCTGCTGTAATATATCTGCAGATGTAATGGGTCTGCTGTAATATATCTGCAGATGTCATGGGTCTGCTGTAATATATCTGCAGATGTCGCTGGGTCTGCTGTAATATATATGTAGATGTCATGGGTCTGCTGTAATATATCTGCAGATGTCATGGGTCTGCTGTAATATATCTGTAGATGTCATGGGTCTGCTGTAATATATCTGCAGATGTAATGGGTCTGCTGTAATATATCTGCAGATGTCATGGGTCTGCTGTAATATATCTGCAGATGTCGCTGGGTCTGCTGTAATATATATGTAGATGTCATGGGTCTGCTGTAATATATCTGCAGATGTCATGGGTCTGCTGTAATATATCTGTAGATGTCATGGGTCTGCTGTAATATATCTGCAGATGTAATGGGTCTGCTGTAATATATCTGCAGATGTCATGGGTCTGCTGTAATATATCTGCAGATGTCATGGGTCTGCTGTGATATATCTGCAGATGTCATGGGTCTGCTGTAATATATCTGCAGATGTCGCTTAGTCTGCTGTAATATATCTGCAGATGTCATGGGTCTGCTGTAATATATCTGCAGATGTCATGGGTCTGCTGTAATATATCTGCAGATGTCATGGGTCTGCTGTAATATATCTGCAGATGTCATGGGTCTGCTGTAATATATCTGCAGATGTCATGGGTCTGCTGTAATATATCTGCAGATGTCGCTTAGTCTGCTGTAATATATCTGCAGATGTCATGGGTCTGCTGTAATATATCTGCAGATGTCATGGGTCTGCTGTAATATATCTGTAGATGTCATGGGTCTGCTGTAATATATCTGCAGATGTCATGGGTCTGCTGTAATATATCTGCAGATGTCGCTTAGTCTGCTGTAATATATATGTAGATGTCATGGGTCTGCTGTAATATATCTGCAGATGTCATGGGTCTGCTGTAATATATCTGTAGATGTCATGGGTCTGCTGTAATATATCTGCAGATGTAATGGGTCTGCTGTAATATATCTGCAGATGTCATGGGTCTGCTGTAATATATCTGCAGATGTCGCTGGGTCTGCTGTAATATATATGTAGATGTCATGGGTCTGCTGTAATATATCTGCAGATGTCATGGGTCTGCTGTAATATATCTGTAGATGTCATGGGTCTGCTGTAATATATCTGCAGATGTAATGGGTCTGCTGTAATATATCTGCAGATGTCATGGGTCTGCTGTAATATATCTGCAGATGTCGCTGGGTCTGCTGTAATATATCTGCAGACAGGATCGTCTCAAGGGGGGGTTCCAATTTTTACCCGGGGACAAACTTTCGATTTGCACCCCCCCCCCCCCTCAAACTTTCGATTTGCACCCCCCCCCCCCTCAAACTTTCGATTTGCACCCCCCTCATACTTTTTATATATATACCGAGTGGTCTATGGGGGGGGGGGGTTATAACCCCCCCTAACCCCCCCTGCCTACGCCACTGTCTGCAGATATCGCTGGGTCTGATTTGAGCCTCTGGTGAAGTGCTGTCTTGGCCATTTTTCATGCTCTTTATTGTATGACTTATGTATGGTAGATTCAAATGACAAAAGGATCAATATGTTAATTCAAATGACTCAAGGATGTATATGTTAATTTAAATGAACTAAATTTTACTAATACATGATTTGTGTATGGTATATTCATATGACTTATCAGTGGCGTAGGCAGGGGGGTTAGGGGGGTCATAACCCCCCCCCCCCCCATAGACCCCTCGGTATATATTAAAAGTATCAGGGGGGTGGAAATCGAAAGTTTGAGGGGGGGGGGTGTGCAAATCGAAAGTTTGTCCCCGGGTAAAAATTGGACCCCCCCCCCCTTGAGACGATCCTGGCTACGCCACTGTGACTTATGTATCAATTTGTATATCCAGATGAGCTATGCAGCCAATTGCCAGCAAACGTCTGCAAGTTTGGATGTGTTGGAGATTTGGACAAGGGCATTCTATGCCAATGTCCATACAGGCTAGGAGGGATCAACTGCTCAACTCCAGGTAGGGGGTCATCAATGGGCAGGTTTGGGGGTCATCAATGGGCAGGTTTGGGGGTCATCAATGGGCAGGTTTGGGGGTCATCAATGGGCAGGTTTGGGGGTCATCAATGGGCAGGTTTGGGGGTCATCAATGGGCAGGTTTGGGGGTCATCAATGGGCAGGTTTGGGGGTCATCAATGGGCAGGTTTGGGGGTCATCAATGGGCAGGTTTGGGGGTCATCAATGGGCAGGTTTGGGGGTCATCAATGGGCAGGTTTGGGGGTCATCAATGGGCAGGTTTGGGGGTCATCAATGGGCAGGTTTGGGGGTCATCAATGGGCAGATTTGGGGGTCATCAATGGGCAGGTTTGGGGGTCATCAATGGGCAGGTTTGGGGGTCATCAATGGGCAGGTTTGGGGGTCATCAATGGGCAGGTTTGGGGGTCATCAATGGGCAGGTTTGGGGGTCATCAATGGGGAGGTTTGGGGGTCATCAATGTAGTGGTTTGGGGGTCATCAATGGGGAGGTTTGGGGGTCATCAATGGGCAGGTTTGGGGGTCATAATGGGCAGGTTTGGGGGTCATCAATGGGCAGGTTTGGGGGTCTTCAATGTAGTGGTTTGGGGGTCATCAATGGGCAGGTTTGGGGGTCATCAATGGGCAGGTTTGGGGGTCATCAATGGGCAGGTTTGGGGGTCATCAATGGGCAGGTTTGGGGGTCATCAATGGGCAGGTTTGGGGGTCATCAATGTAGTGGTTTGGGGGTTATCAATAGACAGGTTTGGGGGTCATCAATGGGCAGGTTTGGGGGTCATCAATGGGCAGGTTTAGGGGTCATCAATGGGGAGCTGAACCTACAAGTAAATTGATGTGAATTGTGCGCTAAATGTGTCCCTTGAGATGTGAATTGTGTACTAAATGTGTCCCTTGTGATGTGAATTGTGTGCTAAATGTGTCCCTTGTGATGTGAATTGTGTACTAAATGTGTCCCTTGTGATGTGAATTGTGTACTAAATGTGTCCCTTGTGATGTGAATTGTGTACTAAATGTGTCCCTTGTGATGTGAATTGTGTACTAAATGTGTCCCTTGTGATGTGAATTGTGTGCTAAATGTGTCCCTTGTGATATGAATTGTGTACTAAATGTGTCCCTTGTGATGTGAATTGTGTACTAAATGTGTCCCTTGTGAAGTGAATTGTGTGCTAAATGTGTCCCTTGTGAAGTGAATTGTGTGCTAAATGTGTCCCTTGTGATGTGAATTGTGTGCTAAATGTGTCCCTTGTGATGTGAATTGTGTGCTAAATGTGTCCCTTGTGATGTGAATTGTGTGCTAAATGTGTCCCTTGTGATGTGAATTGTGTACTAAATGTGTCCCTTGTGAAGTGAATTGTGTGCTAAATGTGTCCCTTGTGATGTGAATTGTGTGCTAAATGTGCCCCTTGTGATGTGAATTGTGTGCTAAATGTGTCCCTTGTGATGTGAATTGTGTGCTAAATGTGTCCCTTGTGATGTGAATTGTGTGTTAAATGTTTCCCTTGTGATGTGAATTGTGTGCTAAATGTGTCCCTTGTGATGTGAATTGTGTACTATATGTGTCCCTTGTGTTGTGAATTGTGTACTAAATGTGTCCCTTGTGAAGTGAATTGTGTACTAAATGTGTCCCTTGTGATGTGAATTGTGTGCTAAATGTGTCCTTTGTGATGTGAATTGTGTGCTAAATGTGTCCCTTGTGATGTGAATTGTGTGCTAAATGTGTCCCTTGTGATGTGAATTGTGTGCTAAATGTGTCCCTTGTGATGTGAATTGTGTGCTAAATGTGTCCCTTGTGATGTGAATTGTGTGCTAAATGTGTCCCTTGTGATGTGAATTGTGTACTAAATGTGTCCCTTGTGAAGTGAATTGTGTGCTAAATGTGTCCCTTGTGATGTGAATTGTGTGCTAAATGTGCCCCTTGTGATGTGAATTGTGTGCTAAATGTGTCCCTTGTGATGTGAATTGTGTGCTAAATGTGTCCCTTGTGATGTGAATTGTGTGTTAAATGTGTCCCTTGTGATGTGAATTGTGTGCTAAATGTGTCCCTTGTGATGTGAATTGTGTACTAAATGTGTCCCTTGTGATGTGAATTGTGTACTAAATGTGTCCCTTGTGATGTGAATTGTGTGCTAAATGTGTCCTTTGTGATGTGAATTGTGTGCTAAATGTGTCCCTTGTGATGTGAATTGTGTGCTAAATGTGTCCCTTGTGATGTGAATTGTGTGCTAAATGTGTCCTTTGTGATGTGAATTGTGTGCTAAATGTGTCCCTTGTGATGTGAATTGTGTGCTAAATGTGTCCCTTGTGATGTGAATTGTGTGCTAAATGTGTCCCTTGTGATGTGAATTGTGTGCTAAATGTGTCCCTTGTGATGTGAATTGTGTGCTAAATGTGTCCCTTGTGATGTGAATTGTGTACTAAATGTGTCCCTTGTGAAGTGAATTGTGTGCTAAATGTGTCCCTTGTGATGTGAATTGTGTGCTAAATGTGCCCCTTGTGATGTGAATTGTGTGCTAAATGTGTCCCTTGTGATGTGAATTGTGTGCTAAATGTGTCCCTTGTGATGTGAATTGTGTGTTAAATGTGTCCCTTGTGATGTGAATTGTGTGCTAAATGTGTCCCTTGTGATGTGAATTGTGTACTAAATGTGTCCCTTGTGATGTGAATTGTGTACTAAATGTGTCCCTTGTGATGTGAATTGTGTGCTAAATGTGTCCTTTGTGATGTGAATTGTGTGCTAAATGTGTCCCTTGTGATGTGAATTGTGTGCTAAATGTGTCCCTTGTGATGTGAATTGTGTGCTAAATGTGTCCCTTGTGATGTGAATTGTGTACTAAATGTGTCCCTTGTGATGTGAATTGTGTACTAAATGTGTCCCTTGTGATGTGAATTGTGTGCTAAATGTGTCCCTTGTGAAGTGAATTGTGTACTAAATGTGTCCCTTGTGATGTGAATTGTGTGCTAAATGTGTCCCTTGTGATGTGAATTGTGTGCTAAATGTGTCCCTTGTGAAGTGAATTGTGTATTAAATGTGTCCCTTGTGAAGGATTGATATATGTTTACAATGATCATTTGGACACCTCAGATGTGTCTAATGTTGAGTGATCAAATGTGTCTTATGTTGAGTGATCAAATGTGTCTCATGTTGAGTGATCAAATGTGTCTCATGTTGAGTGAACAAATGTGTCTCATGTTGAGTGAATCAAATGTGTCTCATGTTGAGTGAATCAAACGTGTCTCATGTTGAGTGAACAAATGTGTCTCATGTTGAGTGATCAAATGTGTCTCATGTTGAGTGATCAAATGTGTCTCATGTTGAGTGATCAAATGTGTCTCATGTTGAGTGATCAAATGTGTCTCATGTTGAGTGATCAAATGTGTCTCATGTTGAGTGATCAAATGTGTCTCATGTTGAGTGATCAAATGTGTCTCATGTTGAGTGATCAAATGCGTCTCATGTTGAGTGATCAAATGTGTCTTATGTTGAGTGATCAAATGTGTCTCATGTTGAGTGATCAAATGTGTCTCATGTTGAGTGATGTCATTTTTCCCTTCAGTCAATACACCATGTGAGAGGAAAAAAGCCTTCTTCGAAGATGTAGCTGACATTCTGTCAACAGAGAATGTTCCAGTAGAAAAAGCGATGGTCCAGCTGATCAAAAGGCTCTACTCAAACAGTTCATCAATCCCACAAGTCTCTTGTGACGCTGTTGGTCAGTTTCATCAAGTCCAGTGTAATGTAAGCTGACACTTCAAATGAACTTTAAAATTTTTCTCACTTCTTCTGTTTGCTTTTAAAGCAGTTCATTCAAACTCTAACTGTAAACCTGATGCTAATCCCAGCTGTAAACCTGATGCTAATCCCAGCTGTAAGGCTGACACTCATCCCAGCTGTAAGGCTGATACATATCCCAGCTGTAAGGCTGACACTAATCCCAGCTGTAAACCTGATGCTAATCCCAGCTGTAAGACTGACACTTATCCCAGCTGTAAGGCTGACACTTATCCCAGCTGTAAGGCTGACACTTATCCCAGCTGTAAGACTGACACTTATCCCAGCTGTAAGACTGACACTTATCCCAGCTGTAAGGCTGACACTTATCCCAGCTGTAAGGCTGACACTTATCCCAGCTGTAAGGCTGACACTTATCCCAGCTGTAAGGCTGACACTTATCCCAGCTGAAAGGCTGACACTTATCCCAGCTGAAAGGCTGACACTTATCCCAGCTGTAAACCTGACACTTATCCCAGCTGAAAGGCTGACACTTATCCCAGCTGAAAGGCTGACACTTATCCCAGCTGAAAGGCTGACACTTATCCCAGCTGAAAGGAAGACACTTATCCCAGCTGTAAACCTGACACTTATCCCAGCTGTAAGGCTGACACTTATCCCAGCTGTAAGGCTGACACTTATCCCAGCTGTAAGGCTGACACTTATCCCAGCTGTAAGGCTGACACTTATCCAAGCTGTAAGACTGACACTTATCCCAGCTGTAAGACTGACACTTATCCCAGCTGAAAGGCTGACACTTATCCCAGCTGTAAGGCTGACACTTATCCCAGCTGTAAGGCTGACACTTATCCCAGCTGTAAGGCTGACACTTATCCCAGCTGTAAGACTGACACTTATCCCAGCTGAAAGGCTGACACTTATCCCAGCTGAAAGGCTGACACTTATCCCAGCTGTAAGGCTGACACTTATCCCAGCTGTAAGGCTCATCCCAGCTGTAAGGCTGACACTTATCCCAGCTGTAAGGCTGACACTTATCCCAGCTGAAAGGCTGACACTTATCCCAGCTGAAAGGCTGACACTAATCCCAGCTGTAAGACTGACACTTATCCCAGCTGTAAGACTGACACTTATCCCAGCTGAAAGGCTGACACTTATCCCAGCTGTAAACCTGACACTTATCCCAGCTGAAAGGCTGACACTTATCCCAGCTGTAAGGCTGACACTTATCCCAGCTGTAAGACTGACACTTATCCCAGCTGAAAGGCTGACACTTATCCCAGCTGTAAGGCTGACACTTATCCCAGCTGTAAGGCTGACACTTATCCCAGCTGAAAGGCTGACACTTATCCCAGCTGAAAGGCTGACACTTATCCCAGCTGTAAGGCTGACACTTATCCCAGCTGTAATGCTGACACTTATCCCAGCTGTAAGGCTGATACAATCCCAGATGTAAGACTGACACTTATCCCAGCTGTAAGGCTGATACATATCCCAGCTGTAAGGCTGACACTAATCCCAGCTGTAAGACTGACACTTATCCCAGCTGTAAGGCTGACACTTATCCCAGCTGTAATGCTGACACTTATCCCAGCTGTAAGGCTGACACTAATCCCAGCTGTAAGGCTGACACTTATCCCAGCTGTAAGGCTGACACTTATCCCAGCTGTAAGGCTGACACTTATCCCAGCTGTAAGACTGACACTTATCCCAGCTGTAAGGCTGACACTTATCCCAGCTGTAATGCTGACACTTATCCCAGCTGTAAGGCTGACACTTATCCCAGCTGTAAGGCTGACACTTATCCCAGCTGTAAGGCTGACACTTATCCCAGCTGACAGTATTCCTAACCTGTAAAGCTGGACACTAATGAAAACTGTTTTGTTTCAGCTGTCTGTTCAAACATGGAACGTGACTGACTGCTACTGTGTCAACACCTACGGTACACAGATCAGCAGCAACACTAAGAGCTACATTGGGTACAATTTGTGTACAGGTGAGTTTGGGTACAATTTGTGTACAGGTGAGTTGTGGGTACAATTTGTGTACAGGTAGGTCTTACATGATACTTGATAACTTTTACTTAGCTCTAATGTTGAAAATAAATTGTCAATTGGACAGGTCCACAAGATTTCAGAAGTCTTGCTGCCCTATGCAAGCAGACAGACTCAGGGGAATCTCTAGTACAATGTTTCAATGGAGGGACTTGTGTCCTTGACCCTTATGAAGGGAAGTTGTGTGACTGTCCAAAAGGTTACTTTGGCCAGTTCTGTGAAAAACAAGGATCCCCAACAAGTAAGTAGGAGAGATTTCAATATTTGTTAGGATTCCCCAACAAGTAAGTAGGAGAGATTTCAATATTTGTTAGGATTCCCCAACAAGTAGGTAGGAGAGATTTCAATATTTGCCAGGATTCCCCAACAAGTAAGTAGGAGAGATTTCAATATTTGCCAAATTAAGAGAGACTTCAATACATTGGCACCTTACAAAACTAATTGAATCTGTTCTGTAAGGTTGCTCATATGTTGAATTATTGGTTTCTCAAACCAATTTTCTCCATTGAGATAATATATGTAATGCCATTAAACCATTCCAGCCCCCGAAATCCCACCCCAGTTGTTTTTTGTTACATAATTTTTAATAACAAAAATATATTTATAAATAACAAATGAATATAATATAGGAGAATATAAAAACACATCTAAATAATGTAAGGGAATATAAATATTAAATTTATATAATATAGGGGAATATAAATAAGAAATGTATATAATATAGGAGAACATAAATGGAGAATATAAAAACACATCTAAATAATATAGGGGAATATAAATAAGAAATTTAAATAATAACACCATATGCTTTCTGTGGCTACCTTGCTGACACATTTATTTCTTTAGACACATCTAGGTCTTTCTGTGGCTACCTTGCTGACTCATGGGAATCATCACGTTATTTCTTCTCAACAAACTCAAGCAATTTGAACTGGACAGTTTTTCAAAGAGAACTTTACAAGACTCTAACATACAACTTTCTTACCCCAAATGACAGGTAATCTTATAGAACTTTACAAGACTCTAACATACAATTTTCTTACCCCAAATGACAGGTAATCTAAAGGTATATCTTATAATCTTATAATCTTACACTGAGTGTCTGCACATGTGTTTTATGTTAAGACATTTTCTTGTAGGAATTGTTTTTGTTAAAATGGCAGTTATGTCTCAATTCCGTGGATAACACCAACTTTATGGATAAGCTTGGAATGTGCAGTCTACACTGGATAACACTAAATTTATGGATAAGCTTGGAATGTGCAGTCTACACTGGATAACACCAACTTTATGGATAAGCTTGGAATGTGCAGTCTACACTGGATAACACCAAATTTATGGATAAGCTTGGAATGTGCAGTCTATACTGGATAACACCAACTTTATGGATAAGCTTGGAATGTGCAGTCTATACTGGATAACACCAACTTTATGGATAAGCTTGGAATGTGCAGTCTATACTGGATAACACCAAATTTATGGATAAGCTTGGAATGTGCAGTCTATACTGGATAACACAAGCTGTAAAAAAAACAGCAATTTAAAATAATTTTGTGTATTTTTTAAACAGGGGAGTTTGTTCTGAGAGGTAGGCCTAGGGTTAGGGTTAGGGTTAACCCTAGGCCTATTGATGGGTTAGGGTTAACCCTAGGCCTATTGATGGGTTAGGGTTAACCCTAGGCCTATTGATGGGTTAGGGTTAACCCTAGGCCTATTGATGGGTTAGGGTTAACCCTAGGCTTATTGATGGGTTAGGGTTAACTCTAGGCCTATTGATGGGTTAGGGTTAACCTTAGGCCTATTGGTTATGTCCTAGACCCTCAATTTTTATATAGATATCTCGTCTATACTAATAGTTTCGCTGTCTGTCTGTCTGTCTGTCTGTCTGTCTGTCTGTCTGTCTGTCCGTCCGTCCTTCCGTCAGCCCTATGAAAACAAAAACGAAATAGTCCAAAGCCGGGGGAGTGCACACAATAATATGACGTCATTGATTCTCGAGTAAACATTGAATTAAAAAGCCAATTTTGTCTAATCTTAAAAGTGGTTTGCGTGAAGAGCAGAGTTTCTTCCAGGCATCTCTTCGGGGGGGCGAAGCCCCCCCCCGAAAAATTTTTACCGCCCCCCCCCGAACGAAATGAAATTTATATAATGTATATAGAAAATATATACTTTTAACAGTGTCCGCCCCCCCGAAGAAAGTTTACCGCCCCCCCGAAGATTTCAAGTGCCCCACCGGAGAAAAAAGTCTGGAAGAAACACTGGTGAAGAGTTTCTTTCATACAATTCTTTGAGTAGGCGCGAAGCCTATCCCCTGAGTAAGAACGTCTAAGCCGCCCCCCCCCCCCTCCCAACTCAAAAGAAATGTCGTCATCGATACTCTATAATCTATAATAAAATTACAGCCTAATTCATGTGTCTAATCTAAAAAGTGTTTTGCGTGCACAGTTTCTTTCATGCATCTCTTCATGCATCTCTCCCATGCTCTACCTTTAGTTCGTATGATCAACAAATGCTACCAGTGTTTGTTTCAAATTTTTTCTCCCCTGAGGGGGGGGGGGGGGTACTTGAAATTTTCGGGGGTGCGTGTGGACTAAATTTTCTGGCAGGGTGAAGTATATTTTCTATATAAATTCTATTTCATTGAATGGGACGGTAGATGTGCTTTGAGGTGTGTGTGTGTGTGTGTGGGGGGGGGGGGGGGGGGGCAAGTAGAGTCGCCTCAAAGAAACTCTAAATGCGACTTTTGTCATGATTGAGATTAGTTACAAGGTTTAGGAGTATAGCTGCAACAATATTTAGTATCAATGTGCAGTAACTACGTAGAGATCAAGCTTAAGGTGGTGATTTTGGTTTTGGTTTTAGTTTAGAGAAAATAGACAGCACTATCAACCTAGCGCCCGTTGAATCCTTCCTCAACAGGCCATTTTTCGGTTCCCAGAAAGAACCGCAACGGAAAAAAGCGCAACGGAAAAAAGCGCAAAACAAAAAGCGCAACGGAAAAAAGCGCACACGGAAAAAAGCGCAAAGAGAAAAAAGCGCAAACGGAAAAAAGCGCAAAGAGAAAAAAGCGCAAACGGAAAAAAGCGCAAAGAGAAAAAAGCGCACACAGAAAAAAGCGCAAAGAGAAAAAAGCGCACACAGAAAAAAGCGCAAACGGAAAAAAGCGCACACAGAAAAAAGCGCAAACAGAAAAAAGCGCAAACGGAAAAAAGCGCAAAGAGAAAAAAGCGCAAAAGGAAAAAATCGCAAAGAGAAAAAAGCGCACACGGAAAAAAAGCGCAAACGGAAAAAAGCGCAAACGGAAAAAAGCGCAAACAGAAAAAAGCGCAAACGGAAAAAAGCGCAAAGAGAAAAAAGCGCACACAGAAAAAAGCGCAAACAGAAAAAAGCGCAAACGGAAAAAAGCGCAAACAGAAAAAAGCGCAAACGGAAAAAAAACGCAAACTGAAAAAAGCGCAACGACAAAAAGCGCAACGGAAAAAAGCGCAAAAAAAAGAAAAAAAAACGCAAACAGAAAAAAGCACACACAGAAAACTGTGCACACCGAAAAATGCACAGAGAGCCATTTTCGCACAAAGACCTATAAGGACTAGATGACACATTTATACATGATTGTTAGGGCTGCTGTGAGGTGCTGTGTATATATATATATATATATATATATATATATGTGTGTGTGTGTGTGTGTTTTATCAAGGGTATTTTTGTGCGAATGAATGTTGGTGCGAGAGATATAGCGAATGCATGTTTGATGACTCGGAAGAAAGAGAGGGAAGTTTTGCGATAGAAACGGGTTGTTATAGAATGCAAGCTTGGGACTAGGGAGCATGTACGAGATACTCCGTGTAATGCCAATATCAAGGATAGTTTTATGTTTATTTATTCGAGAATAGTCGTTGAATAAATAGTGAACAAGAAAAAAATAGACGTTGTGTCAAGCGATTATCGCCTGTTTGGTGATGTTAATGCACATGGTAGTGGTATGCTTTAAGTGGTAGTATATCGCGTCAGGTCAAACACAACACTCTCACAGCAGCCCTAACAATCATGTATAAATGTGTCATCTAGTTCTTATAGGTCTTTGTGCGAAAATGGCTCTCTGTGCATTTTTCGGTGTGCACAGTTTTCTGTGTGTGCTTTTTTCTGTTTGCGTTTTTTTTCTTTTTTTTGCGCTTTTTTCCGTTGCGCTTTTTGTCGTTGCGCTTTTTTCAGTTTGCGTTTTTTTCCGTTTGCGCTTTTTTCTGTTTGCGCTTTTTTCCGTTTGCGCTTTTTTCTGTTTGCGCTTTTTTCTGTGTGCGCTTTTTTCTCTTTGCGCTTTTTTCCGTTTGCGCTTTTTTCTGTTTGCGCTTTTTTCCGTTTGCGCTTTTTTCCGTTTGCGCTTTTTTTTCCGTGTGCGCTTTTTTCTCTTTGCGATTTTTTCCTTTTGCGCTTTTTTCTCTTTGCGCTTTTTTCCGTTTGCGCTTTTTTCTGTTTGCGCTTTTTTCTGTGTGCGCTTTTTTCCGTTTGCGCTTTTTTCAGTGTGCGCTTTTTTCTCTTTGCGCTTTTTTCTGTGTGCGCTTTTTTCTCTTTGCGCTTTTTTCTGTTTGCGCTTTTTTCTCTTTGCGCTTTTTTCTGTGTGCGCTTTTTTCTCTTTGCGCTTTTTTCCGTGTGCGCTTTTTTCCGTTGCGCTTTTTGTTTTGCGCTTTTTTCCGTTGCGCTTTTTTCCGTTGCGGTTCTTTCCGGCCACCCATTTTTCTCATCTATAATATAATGATGCGGGTAGTGTGTCAGTCTGTCAGTCAGTCATGGCTATAGATTTTGGAACCACAAAAAGTAAACATCACACCATGCAGTGCTTTTATATTGCATCTCATTGTCTTATTGAAACTAATTAAGTTGGGTTTGTTTATATAAAGATTTAAATTTATTTTATAGTTGCCGCAGTTTTTATATTTTCAAATAACGTGATGAAAATATTAAATACACATTGCTAAAACATGTTAAACTGATCAATGTCAAATATAATTTTTGTTAAGATTCCTAGAAAAAGTGGATGCATTTTCTTAACAGAAGGGTCAAAAAAGCTAATTAATTAAAATATTTAATAGTTATGCCAGGGGAGGTAATTTAAAAATAAATTGAAACTCACGCTAATAAAATTAAACCGGGAGTGATCTCCCCTAAACTTTCTCGAATATTCTTATATAACACTACGGGGGATGGCAACTCTGGATATAAACATGATTTTTACAAGCTTTTAATAGTGCGTAATATTATTAGTACTTTATAAATTCACCTGCGTTTTTTAAGAAATCTAAAATAGCGTAAATTACTACTTACGGTCATCAGAAATTAGTCAAAATTTAATAGAAGGCAGAGAATTAGATTTTTTACTTAGGCCCTACATGTAAAATGTCATTTATATATCTGAAATAGTACTCAAGTTATAGGCTTTTGAAAAATTGAAAGTAGAAAAAGTCCCACTTCTGGTTACCGGAAATCGCTGAAAAGTTGATACAGAACTAAAAATTTGATATAATACTTATATATGAAATTTCATCAACCTAGCTGTAACAGTACTCAAGTTATCGTGTTCACAGACACACATACACACACACACAGACATACAGACAGAATTGCAAATCCCAGTTTTTTCCGACTCGATTACACATAAAATGCCTTAATTTTGATAAATCTAGATTTATTATTTTTGCCCTTTAAAAATAAGTCACCTATAGTTATGTTATAAGTATAGGATGAAGTACTGAGGTGTAAAATGATGAAAGCTATTAAAATTTCATGTTCTTTTTGTGCACGATTACAATACTTCCTCAAAACTCTGTATAAGATAAGAGAAAGTAAAAATGTGAATGCAAATTCTGCTGATGTCCAAAAGGACATTATTGTTGGAATAATATAATTAGCATTGACTGATAAAGTTCAGTTTGGTAGGTAAAACACAGATACTGCCTTTATTTATTTTACACACTGAACGTACTGTTTACTAATTATTATTTTAATCAACAACAATTAAGAAATCACTCCTAAATGTACCCTATGTTTACTTTTATCTTTTGGTTTGCGAACAAGCTGGGGTTTTTATAGTCATTCACTAAATTGAATCAGGTGCATCTGCTGGCGCTTGGGCAGGGTTCGATTTTGGGTGATGGGCTATCCTGTGAGCACTATGGGTTTGTGTTTGCTTTGCGTTGTGTTTGTGTTTTCTTTTGTGTTTCTGTGTTGCATTTGTGTTTGTGTTTTTTTGCTTTTGTGTTTGTATTGTGTTTGTTTTTGTGTTGTGTTTGTGTTTTCTTTTGTGTTTAGTTTTGTTTTGTTCCATAGTTAGTACATTTATAAAGATTTCCCGTGAAGGAGCAAGGGTATGCAGCTAGTACATATATATATATATATATATATATATATATATATATATATATATATATATATATATATATATATATATATTTATTTATTTATTTATTTATTTATTTATTTATTTATTTATTTATTTATTTGTGTGTACATTTATGCATTTAAATTTTGTTTAAACAATGTCTATAGCACATAGTTAAATGAGATTATTTATGAATGAATTGTGGAATGAAAGCGTAAGAGTAGTGTATATTTGATGCCAGAAAAAAACCTGTTTTTTTTCTCAAGTTTGGCTCTAAAAGCTGAGTGTACTGAAAGTGGGCACTTTGAAGCAACCATTTGTTACTTTGATCTAACATCAGACATGAGGGGAACCTGCTACTGCTGGGGACCCAATGGTCCAATCTTTGATACACCAGTCACTGATCAGAGTGTTTGTCAAGGTCAGTCTTCTCTTCATAAAACTGTCATCTTCTCTTCATAAAACTGTCATCTTGTCTTTATAAAACTGTCATCTTGTCTTTATAAAACTGTCATCTTGTCTTTATAAAACTGTCATCTTGTCTTCATAAAACTGTCATCTTCTCTTCATAAAACTGTCATCTTGTCTTTATAAAACTGTCATCTTGTCTTCATAAAACTGTCATCTTCTCTTCAACACAGGTTTGATCAAGTCAGCTTGCCCTAGAAAATGTCCATCAGAACTCATCTGTCAGTTTGGGTACACAGTGAAAGATGGTTGCCCTACTTGTGAATGTACAAATCCATGTCTGGTTAGTTAATGCATAGTCAACAAGCTGGTTTATATTCAAATAGGCTGGGTTAGATTCAAACAGGCGGGGTTAGATTCAAATAGGGGACTGGGGTTAGAATAAAACAGGCTGGGTTAGATTCAAATAGGCTGGTTTAGATTCAAACAGGCTTGGTTAGATTCAAATAGGCTGGGTTAGATTCAAATAGGCTGGTTTAGATTCAAACAGGCGAGGTTAGATTCAAATAGGCTGGGTTAGATTCAAATAGGCTGGGTTAGATTCAAACAGGCGGTATTAGATTCAAACAGGCTTGGTTAGATTCAAATAGGCTTGGTTAGATTCAAATAGGCTGGGTTAGATTCAAATAGGCTGGGTTAGATTCAAATAGGCTGGGTTAGATTCAAATAGGCGGGATTAGATTCAAACAGGCAGGATTAGATTCAAGCAATAAATGATACTCAAACTGCATTTGGTTTGTGCCATTAACCCTTATCCTAAACATAATCTTAACTGTGCAAATTTAGAACTAGAAGATGCAGCAACAAACCTATCACCCCTAAAAAAGATTTTTAAAAACATGTTAGATTTAGGCCTAACCTGGCCATTTTAAAAACATGTTAGATTTAGGCCTACCCTGGCCATTTTAAAAACATGTTAGATTTAGGCCTACCCTGGCCATTTTAAAAACATGTTAGATTTAGGCCTACCCTGGCCATTTTAAAAACATGTTAGATTTAGGCCTACCCTGGCCATTTTAAAAACATGTTAGATTTAGGCCTACCCTGTGTATCATTTTGTATCATTAGACCAGATGTCAAGTGTGTATTTTGTATCATTAGACCAGATGTCAAGTGTGTATTTTGTATCATTAGACCAGATGTCAAGTGTGTATTTTGTATCATTAGACCAGATGTCTAATTGAAAAAAGGTGGGACGGAGATTTTTCTCATCAACATGGCAGCCATTTCCAGTCATTGAAACAAAAATGACATCTCAGACAAAATAACATGAAAGGTTGTCTAGAGGTTATTTGAGAGGGACTAAATATTTTCTCCATGAAGGGTTGTCTAGAGGTTATTTGAGAGGAACTAAATATTTTCTCCATGAAGGGTTGTCTAGAGGTTATTTGAGAGAGACTAAATATTTTCTCCATGAAGGGTTGTCTAGAGGTTATTTGAGAGGAACTAAATATTTTCTCCATGAAGGGTTGTCTAGAGGTTATTTGAGAGAGACTAAATATTCTAATGTACATTCTTGTCAACCAGAAGTTTGTGAGCTGTCACATTTTTTCAGTTTACTGCCTGCCAACACGGTACACGATGTATAACAGAGACCAAAGTCTGTCCCAATTCTCCAGGATATACCTGTGTTTTACCTGTCTGCAGGCTAGGTTAGTGGGTCATGACTGTTGGGTTAGTGGGTCATAACTTGGGTTAGTGGGTCATGACTGTAGGGTTAGTGGGTCATGACTTGGGTTAGTGGGTCATAACTTGGGTTAGTGGGTCATGACTTGGGTTAGTGGGTCATGACTTGGGTTAGTGGGTCATGACTGTAGGGTTAGTGGGTCATGACTGTTGGGTTAGTGGGTCATGACTTGGGTTAGTGGGTCATGACTTGGGTTAGTGGGTCATGACTGTAGGGTTAGTGGGTCATAACTTGGGTTAGTGGGTCATGACTTGGGTTAGTGGGTCATGACTGTAGGGTTAGTGGGTCATGACTTGGGTTAGTGGGTCATGACTGTAGGGTTAGTGGGTCATGACTTGGGTTAGTGGGTCATGACTTGGGTTAGTGGGTCATGACTGTTGGGTTAGTGGGTCATGACTTGGGTTAGTGGGTCATGACTTGGGTTAGTGGGTCATGACTTGGGTTAGTGGGTCATGACTTGGGTTAGTGGGTCATGACTTGGGTTAGTGGGTCATGACTTGGGTTAGTGGGTCATGACTGTAGGGTTAGTGGGTCATGACTGTAGGGTTAGTGGGTCATGACTTGGGTTAGTGGGTCATGACTTGGGTTAGTGGGTCATGACTTGGGTTAGTGGGTCATGACTGTAGGGTTAGTGGGTCATGACTGTTGGGTTAGTGGGTCATGACTTGGGTTAGTGGGTCATGACTTGGGTTAGTGGGTCATGACTTGGGTTAGTGGGTCATGACTGTTGGGTTAGTGGGTCATGACTGTATGGTTAGTGGGTCATGACTGTTGGGTTAGTGGGTCATGACTTGGGTTAGTGGGTCATGACTTGGGTTAGTGGGTCATGACTTGGGTTAGTGGGTCATGACTATTGGGTTAGTGGGTCATGACTGTAGGGTTAGTGGGTCATGACTTGGGTTAGTGGGTCATGACTTGGGTTAGTGGGTCATGACTGTTGGGTTAGTGGGTCATGACTGTAGGGTTAGTGGGTCAAGACTTGGGTTAGTGGGTCATGGCTTGGGTTAGTGGGTCATGACTTGGGTTAGTGGGTCATGACTTGGGTTAGTGGGTCATGACTGTAGGGTTAGTGGGTCATGACTTGGGTTAGTGGGTCATGACTTGGGTTAGTGGGTCATGACTTGGGTTAGTGGGTCATGACTGTAGGGTTAGTGGGTCATGACTTGGGTTAGTGGGTCATGACTTGGGTTAGTGGGTCATGACTTGGGTTAGTGGGTCATGACTATTGGGTTAGTGGGTCATGACTGTAGGGTTAGTGGGTCATGACTTGGGTTAGTGGGTCATGACTTGGGTTAGTGGGTCATGACTGTTGGGTTAGTGGGTCATGACTGTTGGGTTAGTGGGTCATGACTGTAGGGTTAGTGGGTCAAGACTTGGGTTAGTGGGTCATGGCTTGGGTTAGTGGGTCATGACTTGGGTTAGTGGGTCATGACTTGGGTTAGTGGGTCATGACTGTAGGGTTAGTGGGTCATGACTTGGGTTAGTGGGTCATGACTTGGGTTAGTGGGTCATGACTTGGGTTAGTGGGTCATGACTGTAGGGTTAGTGGGTCATGACTGTAGGGTTAGTGGGTCATGAATGTTGGGTTAGTGGGTCATGACTTGGGTTAGTGGGTCATGACTGTTGGGTTAGTGGGTCATGACTGTTGGGTTAGTGGGTCATGACTGTTGGGTTAGTGGGTCATGAATGTTGGGTTAGTGGGTCATGACTTGGGTTAGTGGGTCATGACTGTAGGGTTAGTGGGTCATGACTGTAGGGTTAGTGGGTCATGAATGTTGGGTTAGTGGGTCATGACTTGGGTTAGTGGGTCATGACTTGGGTTAGTGGGTCATGACTTGGGTTAGTGGGTCATGACTGTAGGGTTAGTGGGTCATGACTTGGGTTAGTGGGTCATGACTGTAGGGTTAGTGGGTCATGACTTGGGTTAGTGGGTCATGACTTGGGTTAGTGGGTCATGACTTGGGTTAGTGGGTCATGACTGTTGGGTTAGTGGGTCATGACTGTAGGGTTAGTGGGTCATGACTTGGGTTAGTGGGTCATGACTTGGGTTAGTGGGTCATGACTGTAGGGTTAATGGGTCATGACTGTTGGGTTAGTGGGTCATGACTGTTGGGTTAGTGGGTCATGACTTGGGTTAGTGGGTCATGACTGTTGGGTTAGTGGGTCATGACTGTTGGGTTAGTGGGTCATGACTGTTGGGTTAGTGGGTCATGAATGTTGGGTTAGTGGGTCATGACTTGGGTTAGTGGGTCATGACTGTAGGGTTAGTGGGTCATGACTGTAGGGTTAGTGGGTCATGAATGTTGGGTTAGTGGGTCATGACTTGGGTTAGTGGGTCATGACTTGGGTTACTGGGTCATGACTGTTGGGTTAGTGGGTCATGACTGTTGGGTTAGTGGGTCATGACTGTAGGGTTAGTGGGTCATGACTTGGGTTATTGGGTTATGGCTGTGCCATATACCTATTATATTTTTGTATACAAATTGTTCTCAAACTTTTATTTGTGACAGTTGAAAAGCCTGGAGTGTGTCCATTTATGAGTTTTGTCCAAGAACCGTCTGGCGCCAACCCATCCTGTGAGGATCAATGTTTAGATGACAGTGATTGTCATGGCAACACAAAATGCTGTGGGGCGTGTCCTGCTACGTGTGTAGAACCAAAAAGTGAGCGTTTAAGTTTTTATCCAGGCCGTATGAATGTGTCTGTCTCGTATGCATTACTACAAATGGCTCTAGTGCCACGCCCCCAGCACACCCTCTGGCTCTAGTGTGGCTTAATCCACGCCTCAACATTTGATATGTTAGAATAGCTGATACCACAGGCTGATATTTCAATGACACCACACATAGTGGGATTTAGGACCAAATTATGACACCACACATTGTGGGATTTAGGACCAAATTATGACACCACACATAGTGGGACTTAGGACCAAATTATGACACCACACAGTGGGATTTAGGACCAAATTATGACACCACACATAGTGGGATTTAGGACCAAATTATGACACCACACATAGTGGGATTTAGGACCAAATTATGACACAGCACAAAAGTGGGATTTAGCACCAAACTGATGACACCACACATAGTGGGATTTAGGACCAAATTATGACACCGCACAAAAGTGGGATTTAGCACCAAACTGATGACACCACACATAGTGGGATTTAGGACCAAATTATGACACTGCACAAAAGTGGGATTTAGCACCAAACTGATGACACCACACATAGTGGGATTTAGGACCAAATTATGACACCACACATAGTGGGATTTAGGACCAAATTATGACACCCCACAAAAGTGGGATTTAGGACCAAATTATGACACCAGACAAAAGTGGGATTTAGCACCAAACAAATGACAACACATAAAACTGGGATTTATCACCAAACTGATGACACCACACATAGTGGGATTTAGGACCAAATTATGACACCGCACAAAAGTGGGATTTAGCACCAAACTGATGACACCACACATAGTGGGATTTAGGACCAAATTATGACACCGCACAAAAATGGGATTTAGCACCAAACTGATGACACCACACATAGTGGGATTTAGGACCAAATTATGACACCGCACAAAAGTGGGATTTAGCACCAAACTGATGACACCACACATAGTGGGATTTAGGACCAAATTATGACACCGCACAAAAGTGGGATTTACCACCAAATTATGACACCGCACAAAAGTGGGATTTAGCACCAAACTGATGACACCACACATAGTGGGATTTAGGACCAAATTATGACACCGCACAAAAGTGGGATTTAGCACCAAATTATGACAACACATAAAACTGGGATTTATCACCAAACTGATGACACCACACATAGTGGGATTTAGGACCAAATTATGACACCGCACAAAAGTGGGATTTAGCACCAAACAAATGGCAACACATAAAACTGGGATTTATCACCAAACTGATGACATCACACATAGTGGGATTTAGGACCAAATTATGCACCGCACAAAAGTGGGATTTAGGACCAAATTATGACACCACACAAAAGTGGGATTTAGCACCAAACAAATGACAACACATAAAACTGGGATTTATCACCAAACTGATGACATCACACATAGTGGGATTTAGGACCAAATTATGACACCGCACAAAAGTGGGATTTAGGACCAAATTATGACACCACACATAGTGGGATTTAGGACCAAATTATGACACCGCACAAAAGTGGGATTTAGCACCAAACAAATGACAACACATAAAACTGGGATTTATCACCAAACTGATGACATCACACATAGTGGGATTTAGAACCAAATTATGACACCGCACAAAAGTGGGATTTAGCACCAAACAAATGGCAACACATAAAACTGGGATTTATCACCAAACTGATGACATCACACATAGTGGGATTTAGAACCAAATTATGACACCGCACAAAAGTGGGATTTAATACCAAACTAATGACAACACACAATAGTGGGATTTATCACCAAACAAACGACATTACACAAAAGTGGGATTTAGCACCAAACTAATGACACCACACAAAAGTGGGACTTACATCAATCTTTTTAAATACCTTGCACCTGTTTGAAAGATACATTCAATTGTAATTCAATTCCTTCTTCTTAGCATCAATTCTAAAGATTACAAATGTTTAATATAGAGATTGGATATTATCAGTAGGTTTTAATTAGTTGCATGAGTTCAAGTTAGGTCACAAGATGCTTTGTAGATCTAGGGTTAGTGTTAGGGTTAGTATTAGGGTTAGTGTTAGGATTAGGGTTAGTGTTAGGGTTAGGGTTAGTGTTAGTGTTAGGATTAGTGTTAGGGTTAGTATTAGGATTAGTGTTAGAACATAGTTATAAAATGAGTGAAGCCTGGTTAATACATGTTTTTAAGGTTTTATTAAAAAAAAATAAAACCTGGGTTATTATTTGATCTAATAATTTGCTCTGCTGACCTATAACCTACAGAGTCATGGACTTGTCAAGATGCAAGGTTGCTGGCACTAAAGTATGTAGAGGAGAGCCTAGAAGCCAGGAAGCAACTGTTAAACAACAGTCATATGGACACATCAGCTCAAAGTAGAAGAGTTCTGCGCATGGAAACATTCTGGATCCCAGACTGCGATGGAGACTTCTTTAAGCCACTTCAGGTCATTCAAAGAATAGTTTATTTCTTACTGGCTATATGACTATATCTACCTCCCTAGGCTTATATATTAAATTATATTGTCAGTGCAAGTCCGGCTAAACCCAGACTGGTTAAACCCTAACCTTAGTCTTAGACTAAAATAAAATAAAAAAAGCTAATAGTTATCAAATTTATTAAACAAAGAGCAATGGAACCAAATATCAAAAAACATAATTTAAAAAAGACTAAAAGGAACAATTAAATACTAAACAAAACACGACCAAACAATCGGACAGAACTTAAGAACACACAACTTTCACAACTTTCGATGGAATATTTCAAACCTTCGATGCCTCAGATGGTTGAGCTTTCTGACCGACAGACAGCTTTCTGACCGACAGACAGCTTTCCTCATCTCCTACAGCAATCGAAAAGCTTTGCAACATCTGCACCAAACACACTTGTCAAGCAAACAAAACATCCAACCAAACACTAAACAAACAAAACATCCAAAACAAAACATACAAAACAGTACATAAAAAACACCCAGCCAAGTTGCCAATGCAACCTCGCTCAGACACAAAGAACCCACCACACACAGTGTATTCTGCCTAGCCCATCCTCGCTCACTTTCAAGTAAGAAGAAAAGGCTGAAACTCCTGCATTACCGGCTTAAATAGTCAGTAAGCGGAAGTAACATTCTCACTAAAATATCAGTAAGTGGAAGTAACATTCTCACTAAAATAGTCAGTAAGCGGAAGTAACATTCTCACTAAAATATCAGTAAGTGGAAGTAACATTCTCACTAAAATAGTCAGTAAGCGGAAGTAACATTCTCACTTAAATAGTCAGTAAGTGGAAGTAACATCCTCACTAAAATATCAGTAAGTGGAAGTAACATTCTCACTAAAATAGTCAGTAAGCGGAAGTAACATTCTCACTTAAATAGTCAGTAAGTGGAAGTAACATTCTCACTTAAATAGTCAGTAAGTGGAAGTAACATTCTCACTTAAATAGTCAGTAAGTGGAAGTAACATTCTCACTAAAATAGTCATTAAGTGGAAGTAACATTCTCACTTAAATAGTCAGTAAGTGGAAGTAACATTCTCACTAAAATATCAGTAAGCGGAAGTAACATTCCCACTAAAATATCACACAAAATAATTAAAAACAAATAAACCAATCACCTGCTCATATATCTATATCTATATCTATATCTATATCTATATCTATATCTATATCTATATATATATATATATATATATATATATATATATATATATATATATATATATATATATACATATCTATATCTATACCTATACCTATATACCTATATATATATATATATATATGTTACGGTCAAAGCCCGAAGTGCGGCCAAACCCCGGAATGGCCGGCCAATGCGCGGATTGGCCGGCTCTCTTGGCCAAAGCCCGAAGAACTTAGAACTAAGATTGTATTTCGTACATTGGCCGGCCAATGCGCGCATTGGCCGGGATGTCCTGGCCAATGTTCTATCTAGACTAAGTTGTGATGATTGCGTTTTCATTATTCTGTGTGCGGTTTCATTGTGAGTAACGTATTGTTTAGCTCTTGTTTGTATAGCATTCTATATGCAAGGCGACATGGATCAAAAGGGCCGTCAGACCGTGAGACAGACATAGCAGATGGCTGTCAAAAGATAAAAATGTAAATCCATGTTAGTTTCCATATATGGGCTACAACTGTATGTGACAGCCTCCTCCATGATGACGAGGTGAGACAATCATCAAAGAACAAATCAAAGACAGTCGGCGTCACCGACCACGTGCAACAAGACGGAACGTTCAAAAGACTTTGCCGCGTTCCTTGTAAGTTCCAAACCTTTGATATTTAAAGAATTTAACTCAAGATGCCAAGTAGATCTTATTGATATGCAAAGTAACCCAGACGGCAAATACAAGTTTATACTCAGTTACCAGAATCATTTAACCAAGTTCATATTGTTGCGAGCTTTGGAAACCAAAAGAGCAGAAGAAGTTACTTACCAGCTGCTGGATATCTTCACGACTATTGGTGCCCCAAGTGTGCTTTAATCAGATAATTGAAGAGAATTTGTGAATCAAGTTATTTCTGAACTAAAGAACATGTGGCCTGAACTTAAACTAGTTCACTGAAAACCAAGGCATAGCCAAAGCCGAGGTTCAGTCGAACGTGCCAACCAAGATGTTCAAAACATGATGATGACATGGATGCAAACAAATTGGGCTGAGAGTCTCAAATTCATTCAATTTATGAAAAAATCGTTCTTTTCATCAAGGAATCCAACAATCACCATACGAAGCCTTGTTTAGATGCAAAGCAAAAGTGGGACTTAGCACTTCAAATCTACCAAGAGAGGCTCTCAATAAAATAGTTACTGAGAAAGATCTTGAGAACATTGAACAAGAAATGGAGGTTGCCATAAATGGAACTACATCCTCAGCTAACACAAAACATCTGCTGCCGTGGCGGAACGTCCAGACCAGTTGCGTGACAATAATGTGGCCAACAGATTCTGTATAGTTTGTGAAAAACATTGTAGTGCAGCTCATTCTTTTGGATCCTGTGGCAACAATGTCCATGCTATGTGTGGAATACCCAATGAAACAGACGAAGGGTACGGAGGGAACATTACCTGCAGATTGTGTCACAACAAACAAGACATCATGGAACACAGATCAGCAGCTCATACTGGCTTGCAAACTCAAGGTGCTAAGATGCTTAAAACATCAAATACAAAATTTAAAGATGGTGAAGTGGGTGACAATGTACGTATCCGTTTTCCAGATGTTGACATAGGTCACGTCGATCCCCGAAGCGTGATTGCAGTTGTCATGAGCGTCGAAGGCGGTTTCTACAAATTAGGAACGGAACATGGTGTTCTAAAACAACTGTATGCTAGAAATGAGTTTTCAATTCTTCACCAAAAACTGCTCTTATTGTCGTCAGTTGGCACTGAGGAAAAATCACTACGAACCATCGCATCTTCACAATCATTGACTGGGGGCCAAGGCTACACATCGCTGCAATTGCACAACTAAGTGCACAACAAATCGCTGCAAGTGTAAAATTAACAAGCTGCTATGTAATTCTAAATGCCATAAAAGTTCAACTTGTTGTAACAAATGATGATATTGATAGATTGAGACTATAGTACAATAAAAAATTTGAATATTTCTGTCATTTACTTTAATTAACAATCAATAAAGACTTAATTTCATGATCCTTACGGCATAAAAAAAAAACCAAAATCATGATCTTCTAATTCGGACTTTGGCCGGTCGTCCCTAGCCAGATGATCTTCTAATTAAGACTTTGGCCGGTCCACCATGGCCAGTCCGCGGACTGGCCGGCCAAAGGCCGAAATCAAGCAAAGTTTCGAACTTTGACCGACCTATGGGAGGCGATATTGGCCAATGCGCAGATTGGCCGGCCAATCCTAGCATTGGCCGACTTCGGGCTTTGACCGTAACATATATATATATATATATATATATATATATATATATATATATATATATATATATATATATATATATATACATATCTATATCTATACCTATACCTATACCTATATACCTATATATATATATATATATATATATATATATATATATATATATATATATATATATATATATATATATATATATATATATATATACATATCTATATCTATATATATACCTATACCTATATAGATATAGGTATAGGTCAGTGGCGGAACTAGAAAAATAGGGCCACCCCGCAAAAAATTCTTTTGGGCCCCCATATGGCAGAGGCGTAGCGACCCTTCCCGTAGACCGGGGACAAACTTTCGATTTACACCCCCCCCCCCCTCAAACTTTCGATTTGCACCCCCCCCCCCTCAAACTTTCGATTTGCACACCCCCCCTCAAACTTTCGATTTGCACCCCCCCTTGCTACACCTCTACCATATATATATATAAATTAAGGTCGGTCGGATGTGGGCCCCTAAACTGCCCTGGGCCCCCCCGCACTGCGGGGTCTGGCGGCACTGTAGTTCCGCTCCTGGTATAGGTATAGATATAGATATAGATATAGATATAGATATATAGATGTATATAGATGTATATAGATGTATATAGATGTATATAGATGTATATAGATGTATATAGATGTATATAGACATAGATATATATAGATATATATATTCAAGTAGGATATATATTGTTATGTAAGATATAAGCCTTGTCAATTACCCACATCAATATATTTCCCTTGACCTTACATACAGCAGGTGTATTACCTCCATATTAAAATACACCTTGCTCCTAAACTGGAATAAGAGATTACAGCTTATCTGGCAGTAGGAGATTAGCACCTACCCCAAGACTGAGAAGATTTTAACCCTAACTCAAGACTGTCAAGATTTTAACCATTGTAAAATCATGTGTTTTCATAACATTACAGAGAATGTCTTAACATGGTAGAGTTTTAAAAAGTTTGTTCTATAGCTGACCAAATGTTCAAAACTTTTTTATCTTTTAGTGTATGACCCCCATAAAAGGGGACACTGGGTTTACTGACCCCTGCTTATGTGTTGACCAACTTGGGAACATCATAAGTGGATCCCAAGCCAACAAGTCAGAAGCAAATTCCTGCAGGGTCAAACCAAACTTTTGCCCATTGCCAGTTGGAAGAGAGAGGACAAATGAAGAATGTCTGGCTGACCTAGATTGTCTAGGGGAAGACAAATGCTGCTACACTGGGGTCACTGGGGTCTGCACTAGGCCTGTTGACAAGTTGCTGACGTTCCCTGACAAGTTGTTGACAAACCTGTGTCAAGGTCAACCAAGTGTCTGTGAAAGTAAGTTCAAAAATAGCCAAAGAGTTAATTTCAAATTTAGGCTACACAAAACAAGAAGAAACTAGATTGAATCAAATAGTCCTTTTGCTTTTGACCAGAGTCTTGGGGGGGGGGGGGGGGGGGGGCTACAATCTAGCTCTAAATGTAATCATGTTGTAAACTAAATTAAATCTAGATTTAGAGTGACCGGCTACACTAGGTAGACATAGAATCTAGAATCTACTTATTTAATTAAATTTAATTACAAAACAAATTAAATTTAATTACAAAACAAATTAAATTTAATTACAAAACAAATTAAATTTAATTACAAAACAAATTTAATTTAATTACAAAATTTAGCCCTGAGGGTAATAAATTACATAAGAGATGCTATCTCTGGTTGGCTGAGATCTAAGAGCAGCAATCCATGTTACCTACAAAGAGATCACGTTTTATGATGGGTTAGAAACAAGTGGGGGCTCGGTATCATGGAAGTGAGAAATTTTGAAGGGAGGGCAGTGGTACCGATTCCTCTTTGGTCTCCACCCTGCTGGACCATGATGATAGTAAATTTCATAACATACCATCTCTACTGGGCTGAGAACAATAATCCATGTTACCTACAAAGAGATGAAATTCTATGGTGGGCTAGAAATGGGTGGGAGTTGGGTATACGTAGGTAAGACATTTTAAGGGAAAGTGGTAAAGTAAAGTTTCCCTTTCAAACCTGACGGTCTATGGGGCAAGTGAAGTAGAGTTCACTTGTTTCTGTGACCTCGGCATATGAAGAGATAGTGTGGTCAGCACTATGCCCAGCAGCCTTTACTTTCCCTAACGTGAGTTATTAATTGCCCATCAGAGTTGGGTGGACTCAGGGACGGTCTACTGACTTGAGCCCGGATTCGATCTCCAGACTTACTGGTTAGCAGTCCAGCTCTCTAATTTTAAGGGGGTAGCATCAGTATATTGTGTCAGAACACTTCCCTGCTGGACCACAAGGGCCATAAATTACATAACATGCTACCCAGACTGGCTGAGATCTAAGAACAGCAGTGGTTGTTACCTCAGAAGAAGATAAGCAGTTTTATTGGGGGGTTTGTAGGAGTTAAGTGGTCTCACATTTGTTACTGTAGTGTAGATCTATTGCTACTAGTTCTTGTACTGAACTAGAGAATCTAGAATCTATACTAACTTGATGTAAATTATCTATATTATATTACTGCATTTTATGTCAACACGAATATAAGGATCTTCAATTCCTAAAAGTTTTTTTTTAGCGTATTGTTCCTGTTCTGTGTTTGCGAGGCTCTTAACATATGATGAGCACATTTTTAGATCACGTGTTTGCAAGGACTCTATACAGTAGGACTACACAAAACAAAAAGAAGCTAGATTGAATCTAATAGAATACAGTAGGACTACACAAATAATATAATATATAATTATAAAGAGGGCCTATCTATTGAAAACTAAATGAAATGAAATCTTGTTTTATTTTTAGATAATTCAACTTGTGTGAACCAATGGGTGAGGGATGGTGTCATATGTCAGTGCTCTCAATCTTGGCATGGCCCATTTTGTCAGCAGAATGGCTCTCTACCTACACAGACAGTCTGTCAGAGAAAGGCAATGGCTCACAAAGTTTTGCTCAGCCAGCTCCAAGAGGAAACTTCTCAAGGGATTACTGCCTTGTTGGACATGCACTATTCCAATTACAAAGTAGAGCATTTGTATTCATTATTTATCGATCTTCAAATAGGTAGATCTATATCAATAAATCTAATCACAGTCATGAGATTCTGTATAACAACTGTGTCATTTCAGAGTGAAGTCTTGCCAATGGTAGAGTTGAAATGCCTTGACAATGGAGACTTTGCTCCAACCCAATGCGTCACTTTCATCAGCATCTTCAATCTGACAGCTCTCCCACCCAGGCAGTGTTTCTGTGTCAACCAGCATGGGGAGGAACTTCCAGGAACCAGACTTTCTGACCAGCGGCCATTCTGTGGAGGTTAGATCAGCCATAGATATTTATATTACTACCATTGATGTTTATATTGCTACCATTGATGTTTATATTGCTACCATTGATGTTTATATTGCTACCATTGATGTTTATATTGCTGCCATAGATGTTTATATTGCTGCCATAGATGTTTATATTGCTACCATTGATGTTTATATTGCTACCATTGATGTTTATATTGCTACCATTGATGTTTATATTGCTACCATTGATGTTTATATTGCTGCCATAGATGTTTATATTGCTACCATTGATGTTTATATTGCTACCATTGATGTTTATATTGCTGCCGTAGATGTTTATATTGTACCATAGATATTTATATTGCTACCATTGATGTTTATATTGCTACCATTGATGTTTATATTGCTACCATTGATGTTTATATTGCTACCATTGATGTTTATATTGCTACCATTGATGTTTATATTGCTACCATTGATGTTTATATTGCTACCATTGATGTTTATATTGCTACCATTGATGTTTATATTGCTGCCATTGATGTTTATATTGTACCATAGATATTTATATTGCTACCATTGATGTTTATATTGCTACCATAGATATTTATATTGCTACCATAGATGTTTATATTGCTACCATTGATGTTTATATTGCTACCATTGATGTTTATATTGCTGCCATAGATGTTTATATTGCTGCCATAGATGTTTATATTGCTACCATTGATGTTTATATTGCTACCATTGATGTTTATATTGCTACCATTGATGTTTATATTGCTGCCATAGATGTTTATATTGCTGCCATAGATGTTTATATTGCTACCATTGATGTTTATATTGCTACCATTGATGTTTATATTGCTACCATTGATGTTTATATTGCTACCATTGATGTTTATATTGCTGCCATAGATGTTTATATTGCTACCATAGATGTTTATATTGCTACCATTGATGTTTATATTGCTGCCGTAGATGTTTATATTGTACCATAGATATTTATATTGCTACCATTGATGTTTATATTGCTACCATTGATGTTTATATTGCTACCATTGATGTTTATATTGCTACCATTGATGTTTATATTGCTACCATTGATGTTTATATTGCTACCATTGATGTTTATATTGCTACCATTGATGTTTATATTGCTACCATTGATGTTTATATTGCTGCCATTGATGTTTATATTGTACCATAGATATTTATATTGCTACCATTGATGTTTATATTGCTACCATAGATATTTATATTGCTACCATAGATGTTTATATTGCTACCATTGATGTTTATATTGCTACCATTGATGTTTATATTGCTGCCATAGATGTTTATATTGCTGCCATAGATGTTTATATTGCTACCATTGATGTTTATATTGCTACCATTGATGTTTATATTGCTACCATTGATGTTTATATTGCTACCATTGATGTTTATATTGCTGCCATAGATGTTTATATTGCTGCCATAGATGTTTATATTGCTACCATTGATGTTTATATTGCTACCATTGATGTTTATATTGCTACCATTGATGTTTATATTGCTACCATTGATGTTTATATTGCTGCCATAGATGTTTATATTGCTACCATTGATGTTTATATTGCTACCATTGATGTTTATATTGCTGCCGTAGATGTTTATATTGTACCATAGATATTTATATTGCTACCATTGATGTTTATATTGCTACCATTGATGTTTATATTGCTACCATTGATGTTTATATTGCTACCATTGATGTTTATATTGCTACCATTGATGTTTATATTGCTACCATTGATGTTTATATTGCTACCATTGATGTTTATATTGCTACCATTGATGTTTATATTGCTGCCATTGATGTTTATATTGTACCATAGATATTTATATTGCTACCATTGATGTTTATATTGCTACCATAGATATTTATATTGCTACCATAGATGTTTATATTGCTACCATTGATGTTTATATTGCTACCATTGATGTTTATATTGCTGCCATTGATGTTTATATTGTACCATAGATATTTATATTGCTACCATTGATGTTTATATTGCTACCATAGATATTTATATTGCTACCATTGATGTTTATATTGCTACCATAGATGTTTATATTGCTACCATAGATATTTATATTGCTACCATTGATGTTTATATTGCTACCATAGATGTTTATATTGCTACCGTAGATATTTATATTGTACCATAGATATTTATATTGGTGTAATAGATTGAGATAATTGTGAGGTCAAGGGAACTCACTCTTCTGTATTAGTATTATATTTATATTGTTTATCTTTAAACCTTTTTCACCAACTAATTTCAAGACTTTATCTAGTGTTTTAAGATGTTCAGTGTCATTCTTACCAGTTATGTACACATTGTCAAAGTACACACAAACATTTGGAATATCCTTAAAAATACTGTTCATGACAGCTTGGAAAATTCCAGGGCTGGATGATATGCCAAAACATAGTCTTTCATATTGGTAGAGTCCTTTATGTGTGTTTATTGTCGTATAGACTTTTGAATCTGGATGCAGTTCTAGTTGAGTGTAAGCATGACTAAAGTCTAATTCAGTGAATTTGTCTCCTCCTGCCAAATTCAAAGAGATTTCCTCAATGTTAGGTATAGGGTACCTATTTAGCTCTATTTGCTTATTCAGTGTAGTTTTATAATCTCCACAAATTCTTATAGAACCATCCTTCTTTAACACTGGCACAATGGGCGACGCCCAATCGGAATAGTCTACCTTCTTTATAATGCCATTAGATTCCAATCTACTTAGCTCATTTTCAATTTTATTCCTCATTGCATAAGGTGGAACTCTAGCTTTGCAGTATCTTGGATTTGTGTCTTTAATGCTTAACTTCACTGTTCTATCATTTAGTAATCCAGAGTTACCAAAAACACATTTATTTTCAGATATAACTCTATCTAGTGAAGTAAGACTAGATTCTTTTACATTCTTCAATGAACAAATACTCTCCCAATTTAACTTAAGATCACTTAACCAGTTCCTACCTAGTAATGGTGGTCCATTTCCTTCAACCACAAGAAGGGGAAGTTTAACACTTTGACCATTATAACTTACATGAACCATACACTCTCCTATTACCGGAACATTGTCACCAGTGTATGTTGTTAGACACTTGTGACATGGCTGTAGAGGCACTGATCCTCCTGTGACAGCGTCAAAATCTTTCTTTGTTATGACTGTTAGAGATGCTCCAGTGTCAAGTTGGAAGCTGATGCTCTTACCGTTGATATAAACTGGTACATTGATGGGAGCATGACTTATTGATTTCACAGAGAATAGGTTGAAATCCGGCTGCGAATCAGTTTGAGCATTTTCACAGGTAGAGTGGTTCATTGGTTGGGTTAGGTAGTCTTGGTGAGAGTTAACAAAGTGCTGCCTTTGGTTGCGGTACTGTCTTGACTGGCTAGATTTAGCAACAGACGAAGACTTTGCAAAGCAGGCCTTAGCAATGTGACCTTGCTTACTGCACTTATAACAAGTTGCAGACTTGAACTTGCATCGATGAGATGCATGGGGACCTTTGCATCGATGACATTTTTGATAATTATTACTAGATTTAGATCTAGGATTTGAACGTGCAGGCTGTTTAGCATAAGTTGGAATGCTCTGATGGGGTTGGTGTTTGTTGACTAACCTGCTGTTTACTGCATGGATCCCTGAAGGCGTTAGAGATTTCGCCGCATCTGATGACTGCTGGAATGACATTGCAAGTTGTATTGCTTTTTCCAATTTTAGATCTGACTCGAGCAGCAACTTTCTTTGAATATCAGGGCTGTTTACACCTGTCACAAACTTTTCACATAATCTGTCAGACAGCGTGTCTCCGAATTCACAAAATTCACTTAAATGACGTAAAGCAGCAACATATTCTGATATTGACTCGTTTGGTTGACGAGTCCTACTGTCAAATCTAGCTCGACATAGAAACTTTGATGGGGTAGGCGCATGGTGGTCTGTTAGCAATTTGCTCAGCTCGTTAAAGCTCTTGGTAGTTAGACTAGCTGGTGCGCATAAGTCCTTTAGTAGCCTAAATTGTTGAGGCCCTATGACTGTTAACAAAACAGCTCTCTTTTTGGCTTCTATCGTCACGTTGTTTGCTTCAAGGTAAAAGCTTAACCTATCTAGGTAATCCTGAATGATTTCATCATTCGCATCAAATTCTTTTGTTTGGCCATACAGCGCCATTATTCTAGAAATACTTAGCTAATAAGCTCTAGCAAACCTCTTTTTTGCGTAAGTAGGTGCTCTTTCTAGTAGATCTTTATCCTCGTCGCCAGATATAATAGATTGACGATAGAAGCATGTGGTTGTATATAAAGTTTATTGGGTCTAACTACATGATGGTACCACACAGAGAGGACGGAAGGAAGTACAATGCACAAGGGACATCACTCAAGATAACAATATAAATATAATACTAATACAGAAGAGTGAGTTCCCTTGACCTCACAATTATCTCAATCTATTACAATTGGTACCTTAGATGTTTATATTGCTACCGTACATGTTTGTATAGGTGATCCATTAATGTTTGTATATGAGCCATTAATGTTTATATAGGTGATCCATTAATGTTTGTGTAGGTGATCCATTAATATTTTGTATAGGTGATCCATTAATGTTTATGTTTGATGCCTGGATATGTTAGGAAAGTAAATCAACCAAATGAAAGGTTACTTATAATAAATTGCTCTGTTTAAGAAAACAACCAAATATGTCCATTTGGCCACCCCTTGACAAACAGCAGTGGCGTGGCCCAAGAATGTCATGAGATCTCATGTCCTATTGGCTATTCCTGCCAGCACAGTACATATGGCAGCCTCTTCTGTTGTCCTGATTTGGAGTGTAAGTAATGATAAGCCATAGGGTCTAGTCTACTGCTTTCTTGATATGGAGTGTAAGTAATGATAAGCTATAAGGTCTAGTCTACTGCTTTCTTGATATGGAGTGTAAGTAATCATAAGCCATAGGGTCTAGTCTACTGCTGTACATTCAGTAAATGTTCTTCAGGCGAAGGACAGTTCAGTCATTCATCTTTGGGCAAATAACTACTGATAATATAGTGAATTATAAAGCCTACGTTTTTAAAAATAAAATCATTTCTTTTGAGTTCATTTTTTTTTTAAATTTACCTGACTTTTTGTTAGCATTCTACATTGATGGACACTCTATGTAACATTTTTGTTTAGCCAATCCAAACCTACGTAACATTTTTGTTCAGCCAATCCAAACCTATGTAACATTTTTGTTCAGCCAATCCAAACATATGTAACATTTTTGTTCAGCCAATCCAAACATATGTAACATTTTTGTTCAGCCAATCCAAACCTATGTAACATTTTTGTTCAGCCAATCCAAACCAATGTGTGTTACCTGTGGACTTTGGTGTGCCTTGCTCTGGGAATGCCAATGTAAAAGACAGATACTACTTTGATGGCCAGGAATGTAAACATTTCCAATTTAATGGCTGTGGTGGCAACTTGAACAATTTCCCAAGTGTATCAGCATGCCAGGCACGATGTCTTTCCAACAAACACACAGGTAAACACATAGACAAGTCACAATCATAATCCTAACACACAGGTAAACACATAGACAAGTCACAATCATAATCCTAACACACAGGTAAACACATAGACAAGTCACAATCATAATCCTAACACACAGGTAAACTCATAGACAAGTAACAATCATAATCCTAACACACAGGTAAACACATAGACAAGTCACAATCATAATCCTAACACACAGGTAAACTCATAGACAAGTAACAATCATAATCCTAACACACAGGTAAACACATAGACAAGTCACAATCATAATCCTAACACACAGGTAAACACATAGACAAGTCACAATCATAATCCTAAAACACAGGTAAACACATAGACAAGTCACAATCATAATCCTAACACACAGGTAAACACATAGACAAGTCACAATCATAATCCTAACACACAGGTAAACACATAGACAAGTCACAATCATAATCCTAACACACAGGTAAACTCATAGACAAGTAACAATCATAATCCTAACACACAGGTAAACACATAGACAAGTCACAATCATAATCCTAACACACAGGTAAACTCATAGACAAGTAACAATCATAATCCTAACACACAGGTAAACACATAGACAAGTCACAATCATAATCCTAACACACAGGTAAACACATAGACAAGTCACAATCATAATCCTAAAACACAGGTAAACACATAGACAAGTCACAATCATAATCCTAACACACAGGTAAACACATAGACAAGTCACAATCATAATCCTAACACACAGGTAAACACATAGACAAGTCACAATCATAATCCTAACACACAGGTAAACACATAGACAAGTCACAATCATAATCCTAACACACAGGTAAACACATAGACAAGTCACAATCATAATCCTAACACACAGTTAAACACATAGACAAGTCACAATCACTATCCTAACACACAGTTAAACACATACACAAGTCACAACCCTAATACTAATCCTAACACACAGGTAAACAAATATGCAAGTCACAATCATAATCCTAACACACAGTTAAACACATACACAAGTCACAACCCTAATCCTTTGTTTATAGTTATCTAAATAATGGAGCAATATTCTTCAGTCCATTTATTCTTTAGAGTCAACTCAAAACAGCAAATTATTATTTTTTATTCCATTCTAATGTTGAAAGAAAACAGCAAATTGTTATTTTTTATTCCATTCTAATGTTGAAAGACAAATTCTCTTTGGAACCAGGTTCATGTCCAGCTACTCCAGTCAAAGTGAGAGCTAAAGTTCTATGTCAGGACCAGTGTCAACTTGATGACAACTGTCACATCACTGACAAGTGCTGTCAAACAACCTGCGGCAAAAGATGTGTCCCTACAATAGGTTGGTGTCATGTCCCTACAATAGGTTGGTGTCATGTCCCTACAATAGGTTGGTGTCATGTCCCTACAATAGGTTGGTGTAATGTCCCTACAATAGGTTGGTGTCATGTCCCTACAATAGGTTGGTGTCATGTCCCTACAATAGGTTGGTGTCCCTACAATAGGTTGGTGTCATGTCCCTACAATAGGTTGGTGTCATGTCCCTACAATAGGTTGGTGTCATGTCCCTACAATAGGTTGGTGTCATGTCCCTACAATAGGTTGGTGTCATGTCCCTACAATAGGTTGGTGTCATGTCCCTACAATAGGTTGGTGTCATGTCCCTACAATAGGTTGGTGTCATGTCCCTACAATAGGTTAGTGTCATGTCCCTACAATAGGTTGGTGTCATGTCCCTACAATAGGTTGGTGTCATGTCCCTACAATAAGTTAATGTCATACATTGAGTATATCACATGTAACATGTCAGTGGTTTGATGGTGATAGATCAACTATATGTCATATGTCAGGTGTATGAAACAGTCAATAGTTTAAAAATGTTACTGTGATGTGATTTACACTAAATAACATCAGTATCACCCTAACCCTAACCTTCAAGATTTATCACTTACTAACCATTAAAATCTAACCATCAAACTCAAGCCATCAAACTCTAACCATCAAACTCTAACCATCAAAATCTAACCATCAAAATCTAATCCTATGATTTTAGCCCTCTGTTTTTTTGCATTGGAATTTTTTTTTATAATCATTTATTAAATATTGAATAAAATTGTGATTACAGTTGATAGTGAGGTAGGAAACATTTTTTTATGATCGTTTATTAAATATTGAATAAAATTGTGATTACAGTTGATAGTGAGGTAGGAAAATGCCCAATGGGTCGACCTTATGGTAGATGTGACACTACAACTTTCTGCCCAAGTGGTTTAGTCTGTCAAAGAACTGGCCAGGAGCTTGAAGGCATATGCTGTATAGATTACTCCAGTAAGTTGACAGTTAGGGTTATAGATTACTCCAGTAAGTTGACAGTTAGGGTTATAGATTACTTCAGTAAGTTGACAGTTAGGGTTATAGATTACTGTGATAAGATTTCTATTTTATTTAAACAATATCCCAATCCCAGTCAAGCTATTGTAATATTGTTTTCATCTCTTCAGATGTTGACCTATGTTTGATTCCACCCAACCTCTCAGACAGCTGTCCCAACATGACACAGCGCTATTTCTTCAACGCAACATCCAACAAATGTCAGCAGTTTCTCTCTACAGGATGTTTGCCAGATTTCAACAACTTCAACACTCTTGAACAGTGTTGTCTGGCATGTAATGATAAAGGTCAAATCTCTTTTATTAGAGTTCAACTATTGTCATGCAGGGTTAGATTTATGGTTATGGTTAGGTTTAGATGTATGGTTAGGGTTAGATGTATGGTTAGGGTTAGATGTATGGTTAGGGTTAGGGTTAGATGTATGGTTAGGGTTAGATGTATGGTTATGGTTAGGGTTAGATGTATGGTTAGGGTTAGATGTATGGTTAGGGTTAGATGTATGGTTAGGGTTAGGGTTAGATGTATGGTTAGGGTTAGGGTTAGATGTATGGTTATGGTTAGGGTTAGATGTATGGTTATGGTTAGGGTTAGATTTAGGGTTAGGGTTAGGGTTAGATTTATGGTTAGGGTTAGATGTATGGTTATGGTTAGGGTTAAGGTTAGATATATGGTTATAGTTAGGGTTAGATGTATGGTTAGGGTTAGATGTATAGTTAGGGTACGATTATGGTTAGAGTAGAGGGGTGGCCAGGGATGTGGACCGCGCTGGGTTAGGGGGTGACACTGAGGCAAAAAAGTGAAAATTTACATCAGAATAAATGCTCTTTTGCCAGTTACATCAATAATTAATTAAAGTTAAATAGTCTTTTAAGAACAAATCTACAATAATTACAAGATGGTGGGGTGACGTAAACAGGCTAACTATAGAGAAAACAATGCTACATCCAACTATTTTATTAACAGACTAAAGATAAACATCGCTACCATTAAGTCTGCAGTGATTAAAGCTTATACACATACATGTGCGCGTATGTGACATATATTTAAATTATAGGCCGAAACACACACACACATTTATAAATATTTATAAGTATGGATATATATATATGTATAAATGATTAGGGGAGATAACTCCGATTTGATTTCATTTTGGTTGTTGGATGTAAGGTATGAGTTTCAGTTGGCTATCTAACTTCCCCCCATCTAATGGACACCAGCGAGAAAAGTCTCAAAGGTATTTGAGAGGTGCATAAATTCATTTTAAAATCTTGCACGGCGTAGTTACAATTAATATAGTTATAAAATCCTGTCTGTCTGGTTTTTTCGGACTTTACTAAAGATTGGATGTATTTGATGTTTTTAATATTTTCGGTAACTAAATAAAAATTTAAAAAAAAGCAAAAACAATTTGGTTTTCACGTGTAATGGCGACATAAACAATGGCTGCCATAAATTTTATTGTACACATTGTAAACAAAAATAGAAAAAAATAGGTCATGGTGTTTAAATTTGCATAGTTATTTAAAAACTTGATCTACAAAGTTTTGTAAACAAAATAACTATAAAGTGGGGCTGTCAGAAATCGATCACGGAGTTCCTTTACAGCCAATCAATGTTTGTCTTACGAAAGTGAAACATCGGGTTATAACTTAAGCTTGACGAAAATAAATAGAAATGTAGCCTTAAACTCAACAAATTATTTTCAAGTTCTCTGGATTTGCAACTTGTATAGCATTGATTCTAAAAATATTAAATTTCTGAATTAATTTTAGGCTTAAGTTTTTAATAAAATTTTATCTTTTATTAGTTTTATGGTCCTAAATCTAAAAAAGCACATTTTTATTCCATGTCAACAACATTACGGAAGGAATCTCGTCAACTCGCTGGTGTCCATTGGCCTAGTATTATAGTTTGCAGTAATTATAACAATTTTTTATTTATTCCTCTACATGAAGTAGGAAAGAGTGAATAGAAAAATGTTGCCATTGTTTGAGTGTAATTTCTTTCAGGGCGCTGTAAGTCTGGCACATGTCCAGACCCTCAACTTGGCTCAGTCAGCAAATGTAGCCAGGAATGCTCAGGTGACGCTCAGTGTCCAGGGAAACGAATCTGCTGCTCCACAGGCTGTGGCACTGCATGTCTGATACCTGAAGGTCAGGGTTCAATTTTCTTGGCTAATTCTTTTAAATGTTTATTTTACAGGCCTATCATTAATTATGTAAACATTCATTCAATACTTGTTTATATGATTATATGTAGGTAATTTTTTAAGAATAAATCAAAGATTGCTTCATAATGTAGTAGAGTTAAAAAATTGCTTTATAAAGTAGGAAAGGCATTAAAGTGATGTACAGGAATAAAAAAATTGCTTTATAAAGTAGGAAAGGCATTAAAGTGATGTACAGGAATAAAAAAATTGCTTTATAAAGTAGGAAAGGCATTAAAGTGATGTACAGGAATAAAAAAATTGCTTTATAAAGTAGGAAAGGCATTAAAGTGATGTACAGGAATAAAAAAATTGCTTTATAAAGTAGGAAAGGCATTAAAGTGATGTACAGGAACTATTATCATCACACTGTATAGTATTAGCAAAGTGCTAAATGTTTCTTCATTTCTTTGAAATTTTCAACTCCAATTAAAAATTTCTTCTATTTCTGTCATTTGTTATTTTTTCATTTTCTTTAAAATTCTTTAATTTTCCTGTCTGTTTCAATTTCTCTACACCTATTAGCTTTACAGATTACATATTTTCTCTACACCTATTAGCCATTCATTATTTTTTGTTTATTAATTGTTTGATGTAAAATGCAACAAAGCTATGTTTGGCTTGTGGCTCTTTATGTCTTCAAAAGTTGTTGTTTTTTAACAGCTGGCTCAGATATCTCAGACTGCATTGTCAGACAAACTGATGCCAAGATGAGAAAAAAAACTTTTCAAGGAACATTACATAATGACTGTGATGTCATTAATATTCCAAGGTGGGTAGGCTTAATTCAACCCTAACCCAAGGTGGGTAGGCTTAATTCAACCCTAACCCAAGGTGGGTAGGCTTAATTCAACCCTAACCCAAGGTGGGTAGGCTTAATTCAACCCTAACCCAAAGTGGGTAGGCTTAATTCAACCCTAACCCAAGGTGGGTAGGCTTAATTCAACCCTAACCCAAGGTGGGTAGGCTTAATTCAACCCTAACCCAAGGTGGGTAGGCTTAATTCAACCCTAACCCAAGGTGGGTAGGCTTAATTCAACCCTAACCCAAGGTGGGTAGGCTTAATTCAACCCTAACCCAAGGTGGGTAGGCTTAATTCAACCCTAAACCAAGAACTACGTGATAACTGAAGGGTTATTTCATAATAAAGTGTGATCTAAAGTTGTTGATATAATAAAGTGAGACCTAAAGTTGTTGATATAATAAAGTGAGATCTAAAGTTGTTGATATAATAAAGTGAGGTCTAAAGTTGTTGATATAATAAAGTGAGACCTAAAGTTGTTGATATAATAAAGTGTGATCTAAAGTTGTTGATATAATAAAGTGAGATCTAAAGTTGTTGATATAATAAAGTGAGATCTAAAGTTGTTGATATAATAAAGTGAGGTCTAAAGTTGTTGATATAATAAAGTGAGACCTAAAGTTGTTGATATAATAAAGTGAGATCTAAAGTTGTTGATATAATAAAGTGAGATCTAAAGTTGTTGATATAATAAAGTGTGATCTAAAGTTGTTGATATAATAAAGTGAGGTCTAAAGTTGTTGATATAATAAAGTGAGATCTAAAGTTGTTGATATAATAAAGTGTTATCTAAAGTTGTTGATATAATAAAGTGAGATCTAATGTTGTTGATATAATAAAGTGACATCTAAAGTTGTTGATATAATAAAGTGGGATCTAAAGTTGTTGATATAATAAAGTGTGATCTAAAGTTGTTGATATAATAAAGTGAGATCTAAAGTTGTTGATATAATAAAGTGGGATCTAAAGTTGTTGATATAATAAAGTGAGATCTAAAGTTGTTGATATAATAAAGTGAGACCTAAAGTTGTTGATATAATAAAGTGGGATCTAAAGTTGTTGATATAATAAAGTGTTATCTAAAGTTGTTGATATAATAAAGTGGGATCTAAAGTTGTTGATATAATAAAGTGTGATCTAAAGTTGTTGATATAATAAAGTGAGGTCTAAAGTTGTTGATATAATAAAGTGTGATCTAAAGTTGTTGATATAATAAAGTGTGACCTAAAGTTGTTGATATAATAAAGTGTGACCTAAAGTTGTTGATATAATAAAGTGTGATCTAAAGTTGTTGATATAATAAAGTGAGGTCTAAGGTTGTTGATATAATAAAGTGTGATCTAAAGTTGTTGATATAATAAAGTGAGAAATAAATTTGTTGATATAATAAAGTGTGATCTAAAGTTGTTGATATAATAAAGTGAAAATAAAGTTCTTGATATAATAAAGTGTGACCTAAAGTTGTTGATATAATAAAGTGTGACCTAAAGTTGTTGATATAATAAAGTGTGACCTAAAGTTGTTGATATAATAAAGTGAGGTCTAAAGTTGTTGATATAATAAAGTGTGATCTAAAGTTGTTGATATAATAAAGTGGGATCTAAAGTTGTTGATATAATAAAGTGAGATCTAAAGTTGTTGATATAATAAAGTGTGACCTAAAGTTGTTGATATAATAAAGTGAGATCTAAAGTTGTTGATATAATAAAGTGAGATCTAATGTTGTTGATATAATAAAGTAAGATCTAAAGTTGTTGATATAATAAAGTGAGATCTAAAGTTGTTGATATAATAAAGTGTGACCTAAAGTTGTTGATATAATAAAGTGAGATCTAATGTTGTTGATATAATAAAGTGAGATCTAAAGTTGTTGATATAATAAAGTGAGGTCTAAAGTTGTTGATATAATAAAGTGAGATCTAAAGTTGTTGATATAATAAAGTGTGACCTAAAGTTGTTGATATAATAAAGTGAGATCTAATGTTGTTGATATAATAAAGTGAGGTCTAAAGTTGTTGATATAATAAAGTGAGGTCTAAAGTTGTTGATATAATAAAGTGAGACCTAAAGTTGTTGATATAATAAAGTGAGATCTAAAGTTGTTGATATAATAAAGTGAAAATAAAGTTGTTGATATAATAAAGTGAGATCTAAAGTTGTTGATATAATAAAGTGAGACCTAAATTTGTTGATATAATAAAGTGTGATCTAAAGTTGTTGATATAATAAAGTGAGACCTAAAGTTGTTGATATAATAAAGTGGGACCTAAAGTTGTTGATATAATAAAGAGTAAATATAAAGTTTGTCACCTGTCCAGGTGTGAAGAAAATGGCTCCTGGTCTAAACTACAGTGCCAGACTACCCTAGGGATCTGCTGGTGTGTCACTGATCTGGGCAACTATGTCAATGGCACAATATCAAGAGGAGTTCCTGCTTGCCATCTAAGTAGGTCAAAACTTTTTTTTTTCAATAGATTTTACATGAGCTCAATACAAGCACTAGTGAGGAAAATAAATATCTCCAATTGATATCAAATGGATGAAAAAGCTGTCTTGCCTAGCACTAGTGAGGAAAATAAACATCTCAAATCGATATCAAATGGATGAAAAAGCTGTCTTGCCTAGCACTAGTGAGGAAAATAAATATCTCCAATTGATATCAAATGGATGAAAAAGCTGTCTTGTATAGTAATAGTGAGGAAAATTAACATCTCCAATGGATATCAAATGGGTGAAAAAGCTGTCTTGTCTTCAACTTAGAATGAAATCACTTCTTTCAGTTCCACAAGCATTCCTGGATAAGGCTGACTTGGATAAAATGGATGTTTCTACTTCTGGATATACAGGTAAGACCTAGAAAGTTTGTTACATGTTGTCTAGGTGGGACTGCCATTAACACTTCTGTTTGTTACAGTATGTCCAGGTGGGACTGCCATTAACACTTCTGTTTGTTACATGTTGTCTAGGTGACCTGCCATTAACATTTCTGTTTGTTACATGTTGTCTAGGTGGGACTGCCATTAACACTTCTGTTTGTTACAGTATGTCTAGGTGGGACTGCCATTAACACTTCTGTTTGTTACATGTTGTCTAGGCGGGACTGTCATTAACACTTCTGTTTGTTACAGTATGTCTAGGTGGGACTGCCATTAACACTTCTGTTTGTTACATGTTGTCTAGGTGGGACTGTCATTAACACTTCTGTTTGTTACAGTATGTCTAGGTGGGACTGCCATTAACACTTCTGTTTGTTACATGTTGTCTAGGTGGGACTGCCATTAACACTTCTGTTTGTTACATGTTGTCCAGGTGGGACTGCCATTAACACTTCTGTTTGTTACATGTTGTCTAGGTGGGACTGCCATTAACACTTCTGTTTGTTACAGTATGTCTAAGTGGGACTGCCATTAACACTTCTGTTTGTTACAGTATGTCTAAGTGGGACTGCCATTAACACTTCTGTTTGTTACAGTATGTCTAGGTGGGACTGTCATTAACACTTCTTTTTGTTACATGTTGTCTAGGCGGGACTGCCATTAACACTTCTGTTTGTTACATGTTATCTAGGTGGGACTGTCATTAACACTTCTGTTTGTTACAGTATGTCCAGGTGGGACTGTCATTAACACTTCTGTTTGTTACAGTATGTCCAGGTGGGACTGCCATTAACACTTCTGTTTGTTACAGTATGTCTAGGTGGGACTGCCATTAACACTTCTGTTTGTTACATGTTGTCTAGGTGGGACTGCCATTAACACTTCTGTTTGTTACAGTATGTCTAGGTGGGACTGTCATTAACACTTCTTTTTGTTACATGTTGTCTAGGTGACCTGCCATTAACACTTCTGTTTGTTACAGTATGTCTAGGTGGGACTGTCATTAACACTTCTTTTTGTTACATGTTGTCTAGGCGGGACTGCCATTAACACTTCTGTTTGTTACAGTATGTCTAGGTGGGACTGCCATTAACACTTCTGTTTGTTACAGTATGTCCAGGTGGGACTGCCATTAACACTTCTGTTTGTTACAGTATGTCTAAGTGGGACTGCCATTAACACTTCTGTTTGTTACAGTATGTCTAGGTGGGACTGCCATTAACACTTCTGTTTGTTACATGTTGTCTAGGTGGGACTGTCATTAACACTTCTGTTTGTTACAGTATGTCTAAGTGGGACTGCCATTAACACTTCTGTTTGTTACAGTATGTCTAGGTGGGACTGCCATTAACACTTCTGTTTGTTACATGTTGTCTAGGTGGGACTGCCATTAACACTTCTGTTTGTTACAGTATGTCCAGGTGGGACTGCCATTAACACTTCTGTTTGTTACAGTATGTCTAGGTGGGACTGTCATTAACACTTCTGTTTGTTACATGTTGTCTAGGTGGGACTGCCATTAACACTTCTGTTTGTTACATGTTGTCTAGGTGGGACTGCCATTAACACTTCTGTTTGTTACATGTTGTCTAGGTGGGACTGTCATTAACACTTCTGTTTGTTACAGTATGTCTAAGTGGGACTGCCATTAACACTTCTGTTTGTTACATGTTGTCTAGGTGGGACTGCCATTAACACTTCTGTTTGTTACAGTATGTCCAGGTGGGACTGCCCCAAAATGCTGTCCTGAGTCCCTCTGTCTCCTCCCATGTTTTGCCCACCCTGATGCTGTGTGTCGTATAGACCCATGCACTGGCTGTTCCATACAATATTTTGATCAACAAGGAATCCAAGTCAACTGCAATGAAGGTAACAGGTTATCCTTATAGTTAGTTTTATATGGCTGTCTTCTGCTACCTAAAAGCTACCTGAGGCTACCTGACTGCCTAAGGCTACCTGACTGCCTTAGGCTACCTGACTGCCTTAGGCTACCTGACTGCCTAAGGCTACCTGACCTCCTGAGGCTACCTGACTGCTTGTCACTACCTGACTGCCTAAGGCTACCTGATGAATCTTAACAAGAAGTGTAGTTGTCCCAGACAACTTAATTTAGTGGAGCACAGATTTTATTTACAGGTTTTATTAACAGGTTTTTATCCCATTTTGATGGGATCAAAAATCATCTTGAAATATTGAAGTTAACTAAATAAAATACTTTTAAAATATCTTAATTAACATTTTTCAAACCACACTTTTAAAATGTCTAAATTAATTTTTAAAAACAGTTTTGAAATACCCAAATTACCATTTAAAACACTCTCTTGAAATATCTAAATTACCTTCTTTAAAAAAACAACCTTTTGAAATACCACAATTACCTTCTTTAAAAAAACAACCTTTTGAAATACCACAATTTCCTTTTTTTTTTTTAAAACAAGCTTATGAAATACCACAATTACCTATTGAAATACCACAATTACCTTTTGAAAAACCACAATTACCTTTTGAAAAACCATGTCCAGGATTGTCAAAGTGCCAGCAAGAAGCTAATGCTGCCAGAGTTTTTATTCTGGAACAACAGCTGAACTCAGGTCTAGATCCAAATCAATGGACTGGAGCAATCAAGACATGGAAACCTAGGACAACTCTGCTCAAAAGTATATCACTGTGTGCTGTTGGGGCTAGGTGTGTGTGGTGTTGGGGTTAGGTGTGTGTGGTGTTGGGGTTAGGTGTGTGTGGTGTTGGGGTTAGGTGTGTGAGGTGTTGGGGTTAGGTGTGTGTGGTGTTGTGGTTAGGTGTGTGTGGTGTTGGGGTTAGGTGTGTGTGGTGTTGGGGTTAGGTGTGTTGGGGTTAGGTGTGTGTGGTGTTGGGGTTAGGTGTGTGTGGTGTTGGGGTTAGGTGTGTTAGGGTTAGGTGTGTTGGGGTTAGGTGTGTGTGGTGTTAGGGTTAGGTGTGTGTGGTGTTGGGGTTAGGTGTGTGTGGTGTTGGGGTTAGGTGTGTGTGGTGTTGGGGTTAGGTGTGTGTGGTGTTAGGGTTAGGTGTGTGTGGTGTTGGGGTTAGGTGTGTTGGGGTTAGGTGTGTGTGGTGTTAGGGTTAGGTGTGTGTGGTGTTGGGGTTAGGTGTGTGTGGTGTTGGGGTTAGGTGTGTGTGGTGTTGGGGTTAGGTGTGTGTGGTGTTGTGGTTAGGTGTGTTGGGGTTAGGTGTGTGTGGTGTTGGGGTTAGGTGTGTGTGGTGTTGGGGTTAGGTGTGTGTGGTGTTGGGGTTAGGTGTGTTAGGGTTAGGTGTGTGTGGTGTTGGGGTTAGGTGTGTTGGGGTTAGGTGTGTGTGGTGTTAGGGTTAGGTGTGTGTGGTGTTGGGGTTAGGTGTGTTGGGGTTAGGTGTGTGAGGTGTTGGGGTTAGGTGTGTGAGGTGTTGGGGTTAGGTGTGTGTGGTGTTAGGGTTAGGTGTGTGTGGTGTTGGGGTTAGGTGTGTGTGGTGTTGGGGTTAGGTGTGTGAGGTGTTGGGGTTAGGTGTGTTTGGTGTTGGGGTTAGGTGTGTTGGGGTTAGGTGTGTTTGGTGTTGGGGTTAGGTGTGTGTGGTGTTGGGGTTAGGTGTGTGTGGTGTTGTGGTTAGGTGTGTTGGGGTTAGGTGTGTGTGGTGTTAGGGTTAGGTGTGTGTGGTGTTGGGGTTAGGTGTGTTTGGTGTTGGGGTTAGGTGTGTGAGGTGTTGGGGTTAGGTGTGTGTGGTGTTGGGGTTAGGTGTGTGTGGTGTTGTGGTTAGGTGTGTGAGGTGTTGGGGTTAGGTGTGTGTGGTGTTGGGGTTAGGTGTGTGAGGTGTTGGGGTTAGGTGTGTGTGGTGTTGGGGTTAGGTGTGTGAGGTGTTGGGGTTAGGTGTGTGTGGTGTTGGGGTTAGGTGTGTGTGGTGTTGGGGTTAGGTGTGTGTGGTGTTGTGGTTAGGTGTGTTGGGGTTAGGTGTGTTGGGGTTAGGTGTGTGTGGTGTTAGGGTTAGGTGTGTTGGGGTTAGGGTTAGGTGTGTGTGGTGTTGGGGTTAGGTGTGTGTGTGGTGTTAGGGTTAGGTGTGTGTGGTGTTGGGGTTAGGTGTGTGTGGTGTTGGGGTTAGGTGTGTGTGGTGTTGTGGTTAGGTGTGTTGGGGTTAGGTGTGTGTGGTGTTAGGGTTAGGTGTGTGTGGTGTTGGGGTTAGGTGTGTGAGGTGTTGGGGTTAGGTGTGTGGGTGTTGTGGTTAGGTGTGTGTGGTGTTGGGGTTAGGTGTGTGTGGGTGTTGGGGTTAGGTGTGTGAGGTGTTGGGGTTAGGTGTGTGAGGTGTTGGGGTTAGGTGTGTGGGTGTTGTGGTTAGGTGTGTGTGGTGTTGGGGTTAGGTGTGTGTGGGTGTTGGGGTTAGGTGTGTTGGGGTTAGGTGTGTGTGGTGTTGGGGTTAGGTGTGTGTGGTGTTGGGGTTAGGTGTGTGAGGTGTTGTGGTTAGGTGTGTGTGGTGTTGTGGTTAGGTGTGTTGGGGTTAGGTTTGTTGGGGCTAGGTGTGTGTGGTGTTAGGGTTAGGTGTGTGTGGTGTTGGGGTTAGGTGTGTGTGGTGTTAGGGTTAGGTGTGTGTGGTGTTGGGGTTAGGTGTGTGTGGTGTTGGGGTTAGGTGTGTGTGGTGTTGGGGTTAGGTGTGTGTGGTGTTGGGGTTAGGTGTGTGTGTGGTGTTGGGGTTAGGTGTGTGTGGTGTTGGGGTTAGGTGTGTGTGGTGTTGGGGTTAGGTGTGTGTGGTGTTGGGGTTAGGTGTGTGTGGTGTTGGGGTTAGGTGTGTGTGGTGTTGGGGTTAGGTGTGTGTGGTGTTGGGGTTAGGTGTGTGTGGTGTTGGGGTTAGGTGTGTGTGGTGTTGGGGTTAGGTGTGTGTGGTGTTGGGGTTAGGTGTGTGTGGTGTTGGGGTTAGGTGTGTGTGGTGTTAGGGTTAGGTGTGTGAGGTGTTGGGGTTAGGTGTGTGAGGTGTTGTGGTTAGGTGTGTGTGGTGTTAGGGTTAGGTGTGTGTGGTGTTGTGGTTAGGTGTGTTGGGGTTAGGTGTGTGAGGTGTTGTGGTTAGGTGTGTGTGGTGTTGTGGTTAGGTGTGTTGGGGTTAGGTGTGTGTGGTGTTAGGGTTAGGTGTGTGTGGTGTTGGGGTTAGGTGTGTGTGGTGTTAGGGTTAGGTGTGTGTGGTGTTGGGGTTAGGTGTGTGTGGTGTTGGGGTTAGGTGTGTGTGGTGTTAGGGTTAGGTGTGTGTGGTGTTGGGGTTAGGTGTGTGTGGTGTTAGGGTTAGGTGTGTGTGGTGTTGGGGTTAGGTTTGTTGGTGCTAGGTGTGTGAGGTGTTAGGGTTAGGTGTGTGTGGTGTTGGGGTTAGGTGTGTGTGGTGTTAGGGTTAAGTGTGTGTGGTGTTGGGGTTAGGTGTGTGTGGTGTTAGGGTTAGGTGTGTGTGGTGTTGGGGTTAGGTGTGTGTGGTGTTGGGGTTAGGTGTGTGTGGTGTTAGGGTTAGGTGTGTGTGGTGTTGGGGTTAGGTGTGTGTGGTGTTAGGGTTAGGTGTGTGTGGTGTTGGGGTTAGGTGTGTGTGGTGTTGGGGTTAGGTGTGTGTGGTGTTGGGGTTAGGTGTGTGAGGTGTTGGGATTAGGTGTGTGTGGTGTTGTGGTTAGGTGTGTGTGGTGTTGGGGTTAGGTTTGTTGGGGCTAGGTGTGTGTGGTGTTAGGGTTAGGTGTGTGTGGTGTTGGGGTTAGGTGTGTGTGGTGTTAGGGTTAGGTGTGTGTGGTGTTGGGGTTAGGTGTGTGTGGTGTTGTGGTTAGGCGTGTGAGGTGTTGGGATTAGGTGTGTGTGGTGTTGTGGTTAGGTGTGTGTGGTGTTGGGGTTAGGTTTGTTGGGGCTAGGTGTGTGAGGTGTTAGGGTTAGGTGTGTGTGGTGTTGGGGTTAGGTGTGTGTGGTGTTGTGGTTAGGCGTGTGAGGTGTTGGGATTAGGTGTGTGTGGTGTTGTGGTTAGGTGTGTGTGGTGTTGGGGTTAGGTTTGTTGGGGCTAGGTGTGTGTGGTGTTAGGGTTAGGTGTGTGTGGTGTTGGGGTTAGGTGTGTGTGGTGTTAGGGTTAGGTGTGTGTGGTGTTGGGGTTAGGTGTGTGTGGTGTTGGGGTTACGTTTGTTGGGGTTAGGTGTGTGTGGTGTTGGGGTTAGGTTTGTTGGGGTTAGGTGTGTGTGGTGTTAGGGTTAGGTGTGTGTGGTGTTGTGGTTAGGTGTGTTGGGGTTAGGTGTGTGTGGTGTTGGGGTTAGGTGTGTGTGGTGTTGGGGTTAGGTGTGTGTGGTGTTGGGGTTAGGTGTGTGTGGTGTTGTGGTTAGGTGTATTGGGGTTAGGTGTGTGTGGTGTTGGGGTTAGGTGTGTGTGGTGTTGGGGTTAGGTGTGTGTGGTGTTGGGGTTAGGTGTGTGTGGTGTTGGGGTTAGGTGTGTTGGGGTTAGGTGTGTGTGGTGTTGGGGTTAGGTGTGTGTGGTGTTGGGGTTAGGTGTGTTGTGGTTAGGTGTGTGTGGTGTTGGGGTTAGGTGTGTTGGGGTTAGGTGTGTTGGGGTTAGGTGTGTGTGGTGTTGGGGTTACGTGTGTTGGGAGTTAGATGTGTGTGGTGTTGGGGTTAGGTGTGTGTGGTGTTGTGGTTAGGTGTGTGTGGTGTTGGGGTTAGGTGTGTGTGGTGTTTTGGTTAGGTGTGTGTGGTGTTGTGGTTACGTGTGTTGGGGTTAGGTGTGTGTGGTGTTGGGGTTAGGTGTGTGTGGTGTTGTGGTTAGGTGTTTTGGGGTTAGGTGTGTGTGGTGTTGTGGTTAGGTGTATTGGGGTTAGGTGTGTGTGGTGTTGGGGTTAGGTGTGTGTGGTGTTGGGGTTAGGTGTGTGTGGTGTTGGGGTTAGGTGTGTGTGGTGTTGGGGTTAGGTGTGTGTGGTGTTGTGGTTAGGTGTGTGTGGTGTTGGGGTTAGGTGTGTGTGGTGTTGGGGTTAGGTGTGTGTGGTGTTGGGGTTAGGTGTGTGTGGTGTTGGGGTTAGGTGTGTGTGGTGTTGGGGTTAGGTGGGTGTTGGGGTTAGGTGTGTTGGGGTTAGGTGTGTGTGTGGTGTTGGGGTTAGGTGTGTGAGGTGTTGGGGTTAGGTGTGTGAGGTGTTGTGGTTAGGTGTGTGTGGTGTTGTGGTTAGGTGTGTTGGGGTTAGGTGTGTGTGGTGTTGGGGTTAGGTGTGTGTGGTGTTAGGGTTAGGTGTGTGTGGTGTTGGGGTTAGGTGTGTGTGGTGTTAGGGTTAGGTGTGTGTGGTGTTGGGGTTAGGTGTGTGTGGTGTTGGGGTTAGGTGTGTGAGGTGTGTGAGGTGTTGGGGTTAGGTGTGTGTGGTGTTGTGGTTAGGTGTGTGAGGTGTTGGGGTTAGGTGTGTGTGGTGTTGGGGTTAGGTGTGTGTGGTGTTGGGGTTAGGTGTGTGTGGTGATGGGGTTAGGTGTGTGTGGTGTTGGGGTTAGGTGTGTGTGGTGTTGTGGTTAGGTGTGTTGTGGTTAGGTGTGTGTGGTGTTGGGGTTAGGTGTGTGTGGTGTTGGGGTTAGGTGTGTGTGGTGTTGGGGTTAGGTGTGTGTGGTGTTGTGGTTAGGTGTGTGTGGTGTTGGGGTTAGGTGTGTTGGGGTTAGGTGTGTGTGGTGTTGGGGTTAGGTGTGTGTGGTGTT